CCCTCTGGCAATGGAAAGTCAGCTCTGCTTCTTGAGTTGGCCATACAATTGTCAGTCTGTCCATCTGTCTGCTGGGTGTGTACAGAGTGCCTGCTGTGTGCCGCAAGGCCACCTGGTACGTGAGCCTCTGTGTGGAATGGTGCCCCCCACCTTGAGTTGTGCAGTGTGCATCCTGTGTAACTGCACTTGGCCACCTGCTGTGCCAGGTGCTGGTAATACAGCGATGGATAAGACCCACTTCATGCCCTTGAGAGCTCACAGTCTGATGGGAGAGACAGACACCAAACAATAAGGGTATCACAGTGCTAAATGCAGTGATGGAGGAGTGCTTGAGGGCCTGGGAAATCCCAGAGAGGAAGCCCCCATCGCAGCCTGGGAGGGTCCAGGATGATATCTGGGCTAAGTCAGCTGCTCTTCTCCTCTTGGGTACATGTGCATCTGGCTCTGTGTGGGGCCAGCCCTTGTCATAAGCAATGTCTGTCCTCAAAGGGGTTGAGGGCAGACAGTAAGTACCCAGTAAATGTGTGCTAAATGAACCATTTATTGGTGGGAGTAATGGTCCCATGCTACCTCCCAATGTCATTGCCTGGCCTGCCTACTCTTAATACTTTCTTTCCCTCTCCTGCTATAAAAACAGGTGTGAAGACTGAAGGTTGGTCTGCATTATTTGTTTAGCTCTATTTATGGTTAAACACAGTTATGACTTTGTGGCTCATGCCTGTATTCCTAGAACTTTGGGAGGCCAAGGCAGGTCTATCAGCTGAGGTCAGGAGTTTGAGAACAGCCTGGCCAACATGGCAAAGTCCCGTCTCTACTAAAAATACAAAAATTAGCCAGGTGTGGTGGCAGGCACCTGTATCCCAGCTGCTTGGGAGGCTGAGGCTAGAGAACTGCTTGAACCTGGGCAGCAGAGGTTACAGTGAGCCGAGATCACGCCACTTCACTCCAGCCTGGGCTAAAGAGTGAAACTCCGTCTCCAACAAACAAAAACCCAACACAGTTATGACTTTGGAGAAAGGGGTTGGTCTTCGGCAGTGTGCTTGTCCCAGATCCACCCAGCATGTGTGGGTTGGGGAAACTGAGGCACAAATGGAGCAGACCCTTCAGCCATTCTTGCCCCTCCCCCTTTAGAAAAGACAGCCCCTTCACTTAGTTAGTTAGTTAGGGGCTTAGGGTGGGAGTTTTGCTTTGCTTCTTAACAACATCTTGGGTCTTCTGAATTCCCAGGCAGCAAAGTGATGGACGAGGAGGAAGCAGGTCAGTACTGCCTGGGTTGGAGTTGACTCTGCTCATCGAATGAGGCCAGAGACGGGCCGAGACCGTCGCTGCATGTCTGGGGAGGTGTCGTCAGATGTCTGGGTTTTCACTCCCCCGGTTGTTCATTGGTTCACTTAGCACACATTTACTGGGTACTTCCTGTGTGTCTGGCTTTGAGGCTGGCACTGGGGGATACGGCCTGAGTCCCCAGATCCCTTTATTGTCGCTGGTGACCTTGACTAAGCTTTACTGTTTCATGTGTCACGTTACCATGGCCAGCACGCCTCGAGGGGACCGTGCTTATGAAGTGCCTGGCACACAGTGGATAGACAATAAATGGCAACAGTTTGATTGTGAGCTGCCACCCATGCATCCTGGGGCACAGTCAAGACACACATGGGCCCAGACGATGCAGGGTGATCCGCGCCTGTGGGGAGCTGCAGCAGGTGGTGGTGGAGGGCCCTGAGGAGGGGTGTCACCTAGAGGAATTCCAGTGGCCAGAGTGGACCCGTCCCTCCTGCCTTCGGCAGTGTGTGGCTAAGGGTCCCAGCCAAGGGCTTTTTTTTAAAAAAGCAACAGAAGCTGAATCTGGCCACCTTAAACAAAAAGACTGTTTCCTGGAAGGATACCGGGTAACTCATGAATCAAAGGCAGAACCGAGCCAGTAGAACTCAGGAAATGGGGACTCCGGGACCAGACAGACTCTTTCAGGACAGATGAACTGTCTTTGGTCCTTGTAGACCACTGATGAGGGTTCAAGTCCTGGGAGAGGGGCTTTCATGGGGCAATCTCGGACACTGTCCACCTTGGCTGGGGGAATCTGAGGCACCCTGATTGACAGGCCCACCAAGGCTGTAGGAAGAGGGAGAGCTGATTCCTTCAAAAGGCCAACAGGGGGCCAGGAGCAGTGGCTCACACCTGTAATCCCAGCAGTCTGGAAGGCCAAGGTGGTTGGATCACCTGAGGTCAGGAGTTTGAGACCAGCCTGGCCAACATGGTGAAACCCCGTCTCTACTAGAAATACAAAAGAATTAGCCGGACGCAGTGGTACGTGCCTGTAATCCCACCTTCCTGGGAGACTGAGGTGGTAGGATCAATTGAACCCAAGAGGCAGAGGTTGCAGTGAGCCAAGATCGCACCTCTGCACTCCAGCCTGGGCGACAGAGAAGACCTTGTCTCAAGACAAGAAAAAGAAAACAAAGGCTGACAGGATGGTGGACTAACCGATGTTCAGATTCCTCCTCTTAGGCGCTCGGTCCTCCCCCATGCAGAGTGGAATTTTCCAGCTGCCCAGTTCAACCTGTAGGCTAATTGGTGGGTTGAGAGGGTGAGACTGCCATAGCAGGCCACTGCAACCTTAGCGAGCACTGCATTCTTGCAGAAGCTCGCAACTGACCCTGGTGGTCAGTGAGGAACAGGAGAAGTGAAGGCTGAGGCTTACAGGAGGGCGGCCTGAGGCTGTTGGTAGGAGGAGGGGGCTCTCTGCGGCATGCAACCTCCGGATGGAGGTCCCTGGGAGTGTTCTGGAACATTCTCATTCCTGCACAAAGAAAGATGGTTAAGAGCGTGGCCGGTTCCCAGTGTTACGCATGTGTGTGAGAACTGGCTGCCTGGGAAGTCCTGCTTGGTGTCACTCTTCCTTCCTGGGTGATGTGGCTATTTGCGCTGTTTGTTTGTTTTCTTAATTTAGTGTTTAGTTAGTTTAGACAAAACAAAACAGATGCTGACATTAAAGGGAATGTTTAAAGCAGAGGTTCTCAGTTCCTGGCTATGCCTGTAGTTCTCTGGAGAACGTGTTTAAGGGGCTGCCATCACTGAACACTCGCCATGCCAGGCCCTGCGTGCGATCTCGTTTCATCCTCTCACGAATGAGGGTTGGGTCTGCTGCTGTTCCTGTTTTGCAGATGTGGAAGATGAGGCTCAGAGAAGTTTATCATTTCCCCAAGGCGCACAGCCAGGAAATGAGAGAGCACTTCCCACACATCACAGTTGATGGAGCGTGCTCTAATTCAGAGTCACCGCAGGGACCGGGCTAGACACGAGGGCACCTGCCTATTTTTTAATTTTAATTTTTTTTCTTTTATTAATGTTTCTTAGGTTTCTTTTTTAATTTTTGTTTTATTTATTTTTTTTTTTTTTGAGACAGAGTCTTGCTCTGTCACCCAGGCTGGAATGCAGTGGCACGATCTCAGCTCACTGCAACCTCTGCCTCCTGGGTTCAAGCAATTCTAGTGCCTCAGCCTCCCGAGTAGCTGGGATTACAGGTGTGCACCACCACACCCAGCTAATTTTTGTGTTTTTAGAATAGAGTTGGGGTTTTTCCATGTTGGCCAGGCTGGTCTCGAACTCCTGGCCTCAAGTGATCCGCCCACCTCGGCCTCGAAAGTGCTGGGGATTACAGGTGTGAGCCACCATGCCCGACCGCCACCTGTTCATTCATAAAGCCCCCTGTGACTCATTTACAACCAAGACTGAGAATCCCTGGCATGGAGCGCCTCCCTGAGTCCAGGAATGATCTCTGCAGCCCCCTCTTCCCTTCCAGGTGTGTCTGTGTCTCCAGGCGTGGCTGTTTCTGTGAGACTTTGCATTTTTTAGCTCTGTTTTTATTTGTGTCACCCGAGTATGTTCCCAGGGTCACCCTAGCATGTTCCCAGGGTCACCCTGACCATGCTGCTGGCTGCATATCTATCCCTTTTGTGTCTTTTGTCTTGGGTCCTCTCCCACCTCTTCTGGGGTCAGCCCTCTCATGCCTTACATTGTGCTGCTTTCTCTCCTGGCACCAAAGAATGAGGCAGTCAGTGCAGAGTGGGGGCAGTAGTCATCATCCTCACTGAGTTATTGTGAACCGGGAAAGAGATATGATCTGTTTTGACACAGCACGATGCCCGAGCGCACTTGATAAATGTTGGCTGTCATTGTCATTGTTGATGTTCCGGTGATTATTATTGATGCCAGGTGAATTCTTACTGGGATCAGGGCAGATATCCAGCTGCCGTGTCCCTTGGTGTCCTTATCAGTGTCCTTCCTTAAGTCTGCAACCAAGGCATCTGCCAGGGCTGGGGTCTCATCTGAAGACTCAACCAGGGAAGGGTCCACTTTGAAGCTCACCTGGTTGTTGACAGAACTCGGTTCCCCAGTTGTTCAAATGTTGAAATACTTTCTTATTACTGTGGAGACAGCCACCGCCCCAGGTACCTTTTACCCTGAACTCTTGGGACCTCTGTGTGGTCTGGGAACTGAAGGGTTAACTTCTGGCACTACAGGGGTCTCTGGGCCTCTGCCTGTTGGCTGATGCCCTTGTCAAATTGGTTATCTATTTTGAGTATCACCTCTTCTTGCAGTGCTTGGGAATCCGGGGGCTGTGCCCTTTCCCTGGTGTGGTTCCTTGCATCCTGGTCCTAGGAAGTGAGTTTAACACAGCAGAGCTACTGTTTTCTGGGCTGCGTTTTACCCATTGCTGCTGTCACAGGATGCTGGCTCAGGCCCAGTTCCCTCGGTGGATGGAGCCCTTTGCACAGTTGCGAAGCACTGTCTCTGCCCCAAGGGACTGAACCCCAAATACCACCTGCCCCACAACCAGACAGCCTGTCCGTGGCCTCTGCAGAGCAGGTCTCCTATTTCCGATCGTCCTGGCGGCCAGGTGCTCTGCTGTCTCCTCCCTGTAGTGGCTGGTGTTTCTTGCCCTTGGTTTTAGCATCTGGCTTATGTAACCCCACTTGCCCCCTTTGTCTCTCTTCTGCCAGGGGTCACGGGCATCAGCGGTCCAGGGAAGGAAGCAAAGCAAATGGAGAATGGCATGCTGGTGACAGACAGTGCAGGGAAGCAACTGCAGAGGTAAGAGCGGGGAGGGTGGCCCCAACCCGAGGACCCTGCCCTGTCAGCGGGAGGACAAGTGGAGGGACAGAAGAAAGGCCTCGGCCCCCTGGGGTCCTGGAAGTCCTGGTCTTTCTGCCTCCCCTCCCAAATCCTCCAAAGACCTTGCTTTTCAGAGCACAGAGGCCCAAAGAAAGAATGTGACACTCTTCTTGCCAGGTGGCACGACACACACAGTCCTCATGATTTAACCATCTGTCCCCACTTCTGACACTCATGTTCCCTACATGGCGTGAGTCTTTGCTCAGATCCCTTGGTGGGGCCTGGAAGGTTCAGGCTTTATGAAGCAGCATTCGATTTAAAACTGTCTCAAGGCCAGGTATGGTGGCTTATGCTTGTAATCTCAGCATTTTGGGAGGTTGAGGCAGAAGGATCGCTTGACGCCAGGAGTTTGAGACCACACTGGGCAATACAGCAAGACCCCATCTCTGCAAAAAAGGAAGTATGTTTGTGTTTGATTATAGAGGGTTTCCTTAGATCCTCGGGGATTTATACCATATGCAGTATGTTAACCATACTAGTTTTTAAAAATTGGCTAAGTTGGCCAGGCATGGTGGCTTACGCCTATAATCCCAGCATTTTGGGAGACTGAGGTGGGCGGATCACCTGAGGACAGGAGTCCGAGGTGGGCGGATCACCTGAGGACAGGAGTCCAAGACCAGCTTGGCCAGCATGATGAAACCCTGTGTCAACCAAAGATAAAAAAATTAGTCAGGCATGGTGGTGCATGCCTGTAGTCCCAGCTACTCGGGAGGCTGAGGCATGAGAATCACTTGAACCCGGGAGGTGGAGGTTGCAGTGAGCCGAGATCGCACCATAGCACTGCAGCCTGGGTGACAGAGCGAGACTCCGTCTCAAAAAACAAAAACAAACAAAACCCAGAAAACAGCAAAACAACAGCAACAACAAAACTTGACAAAGTCAGAGCTTAAACATACCTGACCCCAGAGATTTGAGAAAGGATCGGGGACCTGCAGTTGCTATAGGGATCAGGAGAGAGCAAAGACGATGCAGCCTCGCACTGTGCCTGGAACAGACAAACACTTGGTAGATGTCACTTTTGCCATTGTTATCATCTTACACAGCCTAAATTGTAGTGGGAGGCTCCAGACAGTGCATGAGTGTAGAAGGATATAAGATTTTCTGTCCAAGGTGTGTGACTTGTGAAGTCCTACGTCATGAAGCAGGAAGCCCCAGCTCCCCATCTGAATTCTAGATTCCATCCAGAGTTGGTTCTGATTCTTCCCTCTGCTCCCTGAAAACTCACTCTTGCTTTTGGATTTGAGGGCCACTTCCTCCTCACTTGGCCTTAACCAAAGACCGTTGCACAGATCTTGTGGGTACGGAAAGGTTACGCACCCCCAGGCCCTAGTTCAAAGAGGGGAGGTGCTGGAGGTTTATTCAGTCTGCAGGAAGTATTTTCAGGGAACACAGTTCTGGGGGTGCAGGGATGACTCACATGGGGCTCCTGACCTCATGTAGCTTGTAATCTTGTGCAGGAGATAAGTAGGTAGAGAAAGGTATAGAAATTTCTACGGCAATGAGCCACAGCTGTGTTTTGCATGGCCTCCATAATTTCTTTCTTTCTTTCTTTTTTTTTTTTTTGACATGGAGTCTCCCTCTGTCACCCAGGCTAGAGTACAGTGTGCACTGGCGCAGTCTCAGCCACTGAACACTAAATTGGCGGCAGTGCAATCTGTGATCATCTCTGGGGGTCTGCATAAAGCTGATGACCACTGATGTGCAAAAAGTGCCTTTTTTTTTTTTTTTTTTTTTTTTTTAATTTGAGGCAGGGTCTTCCTCTGTCGCTGAGGCTGGAGTGCAGTGGCGCAATCATGGCTCACTGCAACTTCTGTCTCTGAGATTCAAGCGATTCTCCTGCCTCAGTGTCCCGAGTAGCTGGGACTACGGGCACGCGCCACCATGCCCGGCTGATTTTTGTATTTTTAGTAGAGATGGGGTTTCACCATTTTGGCCAGGCTAGTCTTGAACTCCTGGCCTCAAGTGATCCACCCACCTTGGCCTCCCAAAGTGCAGGGATTACAGGTGGGAGCCACTGCACCTGGCCGAATAGTACTTTCTGAGTAACACGCTTCTGTGAAGGAGCAGCCAGGGCAAGTTCCTTCCCCAACCCCCGCCACATTTGTAAAACTAGAAAATTGAACTCGCTGGGTACTTTTCTCTGTGTTTTTCATCATGTGTTACATTTTGAATCTTTTTCATGTTTGAAAAATGATCTGTGATGCGCCCTGTTTTATCTTTTATTGGCGGTTTGTTTGTTTGTTTGTTTTGAGATCAATTAGAATTGATCTAAAAAAAAAAAAAAAAAAAAAGGCAAGCACGCACTTTTTGCCTATCAGTGGTCATGGGCTTTTTGCAGCCTCCCAGAGATCATCACAGTTTCCCACAGGTCTCATTCCTGCCTGAGACACTGCCTTTCTCTGGGGACCTGGAACCCTGGGGAACGACATGGTGGGGTGTGATGCACATGTGCACGTGTTCATATATATGTTTACACGTGTGCGTGTGGAAACACTCCGTCTCTTATGCCATGGTTCAGACCCACAATAGCAGCCCCAGCAGGGAGCCCTCCAACCCTGCCCAAGGCATCTGTGCCATTGACACCCCTGTGCTTTGCTTCTCCAGACAGCTCAGCAGCTCCTCCTCCTACAGCGGGGACGTCAGCAGGCAACACAACAGCACCGCAGAACTGCAGAAAGATGGGGCCAAGAAGGAGGAGACGTGGAAGCTAATGGAGGCTGACAAGGCGCAGACAGGGCAGGTGAGATTCGCTCCTTAAATGATGATGGTGGCTGGAGTTGACAGAGCGCCCGCTGTGCATTGGCACTGTGCAAAGTGCCTTGTCTGTGTGAACTCACGTGTCCATCACAACATACCTCTGAAGGTACTGTTTACAGCGCCAGAAACTGAGGCGGGAGAGGCTAAGTGACTGCCCCAAGGTCACTGCTGGTCAGCGGCAGAACCGGGATTTGAACCCTGGCAGACTCCAGCGTTGGTGCTTGTAGTCTCTGCTCTACTGACTGCCTGAGCAGCTCACGGGGTCTCGTTAGCTAGAGGCAAGCCGGATGTTTTAAATCAGGGCTTCCTGCAATGTGGGGTTCAGTTGTGCATGAGATGGTTTCCGGTTGTGCACAGACACATTAAATGACAGATGAATGTTTGTTACATTTCTTTTTTTTCCTTTGCTTTTTTTTTTTTTTTTTCTGAAACAGAGTCTCACTCTGTCGCCATGGCTGGAGTGCAGTGGTGCGATCTCGGCTCACTACAACCTCTGCCTCCTGGGTTCAAGCAATTTTCCTGCCTCAGCCTCCTGAGTAGCTGGGATTACAAACACTTGCTACCTTGCCCAGCTAATTTTTGTGTTTTTAGGGTTTCACCATGTTGGTCCAGCTGGCCTTGAACTCCTGACCTCAGGTGATCCACCCACCTTGGCCTCCCCAAGTGCTGGGATTAGAGGCGTGAGCACTGCGCCCTGCTTATTTTTTATTTCCCATTTGGTCCTAATGATTACGTCCCTGAGAAAGTCTCAATTGAGTCCTACCCTGCCTTCAGTACCTAACAACCACTAGCCTCTCTTCGTAACAAGGAGACCGGGTTTTGAGCTCCTGTTTTATTGTTTTTAAAGATCGTCTATTTTGGGCAAATGTTAATAATTCTCCATTTGTGGTGGTGATCCAAAGTTTATTTTTAAAAATACATGTGGTTATGTTTTTTTTTTTTTTTTTAAAAAGGGAATTGAATTTTTAAAGTAGGTAAAAAATAAGCATGCAGATAAAGAAAAACAAAAAATCCCATGAAAGGTGGTAGCGGGGGAGTGAGGTTGGGGCACCTTTTCTTAGATCCGCCCGGATGTGTCCAGAACTTCCCAGGACTGTCTGTTCCTGGCTTCTTAACTTGTCATCACAGTCAGGACCCTAACAAGGGGCAGAGGTGACTGTGGTGTCCTCTCCCGCCTTACCCTTAGTGACCCTCCAGGAAGCCAAAGAAATTACCCCAAATCATAGGACATGGGAAGGAAGGGCCAGAGATGCCAGGCCCATTTAATCCTCACTTAACTCCGATTTTATATTCAAGGAACACCAAAGCCAGGGGGCTTATAACTTGTCAAAGTTGGACCAGGAGTGGAGCCAGGCACAACATGCTCATCATTACTTTCTTTTTTTTTTTTTTTTTATTTGAGACGCTGGAGTGCCATGGCGTAATCTGAGCTCACTGCAACTTCCGCCTCCCGGGTTCAAGTGATTCTCCTGCCTCAGCCTCCCTAGTAACTGGGACTACAGGCATGCGCCACCATGCCCAGCTGATTTTTGTATTTTTGGTAGAGATGGGGTTTCACTATGTTGGCCAGGCTGGTCTCAAACTTCTGACCTCGTGATCCGCCCGCCTCAGCCTCCCAAAATGCTGGTGCTGGGATTACAGGCGTGAGACACGGTGCCTGGCCTTTTTTTTTTTTTTTTTTTTAATTTGTTTTCTTTTTTTTTTCTGAGACAGGGTCTGACTCTGTCACCCAGGATGGAGTGCAGTGGCACAATCATGGCTTACCGCAGCCTCCACCTCCCAGATTCAAGTGATTCTCCCACCTCAGCCTCCCGAGTAGCTGGGACTACATGTGTGCACCACCATGCTTGACTAATTTTCTTTATTTTTTGTAGAGATGAGGTTTCACCCTATTTCCCGGGCTGGTCTTGAACTCCTGGGCTCAAGTGACTTGCCTGCTTCCCAAAGTACTGGGATTACAGATGTGAGCCACCCCACCTGGCCGCACACTTGTCATTTGTGACCCCCGAGCCCACCACATTCCATTGCTCATGAGAAAGAGGTTCCCGAACGCTATAGGCTAATTTCAGGGACGGCAGCAGCTTGGCTGCATATGATGAAGCCAAGTGGTGAAGTAAACACATTCTCAATTATGACCTGTCTCCTCACCCACATATTTCATTTTCCAGAATGGAAACTTGAAAACTCAAAAGGAAGCAATCAGGTACACACCAGACCTGTTATCTTTCACCTGTTACCTTTCAGCTAGACCGTAGGGTCAGATGATTCTTGGTTTTTTTTCTGGTGGGGGCCAGGGCCTCACTGTGTCGCTCAGGCTGGAGTGCAGTGGTGTGACCAGTGTTCACTGCAGCCTGAAGCTTCTGGATTCAGGAGATCCTCCTGGCTCAGCTTCCTGAGTACCTGGGACTATGGGGTGGACCACCACACCTAGCTAATTTTAAACTTTTTTGTAGAGACAGGCTCCTACCGTGTTTCCCAGCCTGGTCTCGAACTCCTGGGCTCAAGTGATTCTCCTGCCTTGGCCTCCCAAAGTGCTGGCATTATAGGTGTGAGCCACCACTCCCAGTTTCCAGATGATTTTTATGACCCAAAATTCAGCATGAAAAGCTTGAAATGACAGTGAGCACAGACACGGGTAAAGATCGCTGGAATTTCTTGAAACCAAGCCAGGTGGTTTAGGCAGGGGCCGGCCTAAAGCAGAGTGCCCTGTCTGTCATGTCAGGAGGCTAGACTGATTTGTTTAGACCCATGCTGGGCGCCACAGGGAATACAGGAGGGAAAGAAACTGGCAGCTTCGCCTCCGGAGCGAGCTGGACACTGGGAAGATGGGTGAGACGGTGTTCTGTGCTCAGAGGGAAAGGAATTGGGGGAGGCTGGCCCAGTTGGGGTGTGGAGGTGACACTTGGCCTTGGTTGCCAGGCAACATGTCACACATTGCTTAAAGCTCATTGGTGGCTTCTGCCTTCTGTCAGTCTTGGCATAAAAGTTGGAATCCTGACCCGAGTCTCCCATGCCATGTGTGGTCTGACTGCGACCCATCTCTTCAACCTCTTGTTCGTTGCTGCTCCGTGATTTGGCTCCAGCCACCAGTGCCTTCTCTCAGTTCCCCAGCTGCGCTGTGTTCCCTCCTACCTCAGGGCTTTTGCACGTGCTGGTTCTGCCACCTTTTTTCCATTTTCAGATGGTTTAACTCCTTTTTTTTTTTTTTCCTGGAGGCATTGTCTCCCTCTGTCACCCAGGCTGGTGTGCAGTGGCGCAACTTTGGCTCACTGCAGCCTCCGCCTCTATGTTCAAACGACTGTTGTGCCTTAGCCTCCTCCTGAGTAGCTGGGACTGCAGGCACGTGCCCCATGTCCGACTGGTTTTTGTGTTTTATGCAGAGACAAGGTTTCGTCACATTGGCCAGGCTGGTCTCGGACTCCTGACCTCAGGTGATCCACCGGCCTCAGCCTCCCAAAGTGCTGGGATTATAGGAATGAGCCACCCTGCCCAGCCAATACCCTTTATTGTTTTTATTTTTTAGAGATAGAGTCTCTCTCTGTCGCCCAGGCTGGAGTGCAGTGGTGCAATCTCGGCTCACTGCAACCTCCGCCTCCCAGGCTCAAGCGATTCTCCTGCCTCAGCCTCCCGAGTAGCTGAGATTACATGTGCATGCCAACAGGCCCGGCTAGTTTTTGTATTTTAGTAGGGAAGGGATTTCGTCATGTTGGCCAGGCTGGTCTCAAATTGCTGATCTCAGGTGATCCACCTGCCTCGGCCTCCCGAAGTGCTGGGATTACAGGCATGAGCCACTGCACCTGGCCTTGGTTTAACTCTTCAATGTCACTTCCTTGAAGAAACCTCCACCAATACCTCTCTAGACGGCATTAGGTCAGGATGTCCACTTTTATACTCACATGGAATTGTGCGCCGTTTACGGCCCTTCTCTGTGATGATGCATTTATCTGGGATGATTTGATGGGAGCCAATCTCACCATGCGACTGGAAGCTCCATGCATGAGGGCAGAGACCCTGTTTTTTTTTTTTTTTTTCTTTTTGAGCTGGAGTCTCACTTGGTCACTCAGGCTGGAGTGCAGTGGGGCAATCTTGACTCACTGCTGCAACCTCTGCCTCCTGGGTTAAAGCAATTCTCCTGCCTCAGGGCTCACCATTAGCTGGGATGACAGGTGCCCACCACCACACCCGGCTAATTTTTTGTATTTTCAGTAGAGGCAGGGTTTTGCCATATTGGCCAGACTGGTCTCGAACTCTCTACCTCAGTTGATCTGCCCGCCTCAGCCTCCCAAAGTGTTGGGATTACATGTGTGAGCCACGGTGGCTGGCCCTTGACTTTGTTTACTGCTGACTTTGTCGAATAGCTAGAGGGGAGGGTGTTCTAGGTAGGAGCAAAGACAGGCAGCTGGGTGGCGCAGTGCTGCTGAAGTCCCTGAGCTTCTGGGGCTGGGGCGGGGTGCATGCGTGTGCTAAGCTGCCTTATCTCCCATGGTCTCCAGGTCAAACTTTCCGTGTACTGGGACTACATGAAGGCCATCGGACTCTTCATCTCCTTTCTCAGCATCTTCCTTTTCATATGTAACCATGTGGCCGCGCTGGCTTCCAACTATTGGCTCAGCCTCTGGACTGATGACCCCATAGTCAACGGGACCCAGGAGCACACGAAGGTCCGGCTGAGCGTCTATGGAGCCCTGGGCATTTCGCAAGGTGGGTGCCACTGTCTCCCACCCCGCCCGATTTGGGCCCCTGTTGTGACTTTGTCTAATTACAGAAATGGATCCTTAGAGTCCTCAGGGTTTTGTGGGACCCCAAACCAAGCCAAACCCAGAGGAACAGTAGCTGTCAGCCAGTAGACACTCAGATATTTGTAGAGTCAGTGTTTGAGTGCTTTGTTCATATGGGCCTTGGTGGTAGATGGGAGGAGTGCTCCAGTGTGCCCATTTTACAGATGAGGACAGTTGAGAACAGAGGCCACTGGAAGCACTGTGGGTTGGGAAGGACCCCCGTGACCCTATTTGCTTTGTAAGGGTGACAGAGCTTCTGTGAGGTCTCATTTGTGGACTTTTGCCTGCTGAACGAGGGCGGAAATTGGCTCATACTAGTAATTCCCAATTATGGGCGGTGTTGTCCCCTAGGGATGTTTGACAATATCTGGAGATGCTTTTGGTTGTCACAAGATTGAGAAACCCTGCTGTTGGCCAGGCATGGTGACTCACACCTGTAATCCCACGCTTTGGGAGGCTGAAGTCGGAGGATCGCTTGAGGCCAGATGTTTGAGACCAGCCTGGGCAACATAGTGAGACCCTATCTCTAGAAAAAATAGATAAGTAAAAAAATAGGTAAATAAAATAAACTACAGGTGCACGTGGTGGTATGTGCCTGTAGTCTCAGCTACTTGGGCAGCTGAGGTCAGAAGATTACTTGAGCCCAGGAGTTTGAGCCTACAGTTCGACCTGTGATTGCACCACTGCACTCCAGCCTGGGCGACAGAGCAAGACCCTGTCTCAAAAAACAAACAAAATCCCCTGCTCTATACCGGTCTGTGTGGTTCTATGGGAGTCCTCAAGTGCAGCAGCGTTGATAATAACAGCTGGCGTTTACGGAGCATTTACTTGGTGCTTGGCTGTGTTCTAAACACTTCCACGTGTTTTAACTTATTTTATCCCTGCAGCAGTCCTGTGAGGTAGGAGTTAATATTTCCCCCATTTTGGAGATACAGAAATTGAGGCCCAGAGAGGTTGAGTGAGTTGCTGAAAGTCACACAGCTAATACATGGCAGTATTGGCATTGAACAAGGCAGTCTGGCTCAGGAGCTCACGCTGTTATCCACTGTGCTATGCAGTATGTGAGCTGTGTTTGCAAATACACATGTATGGTCCATATGATATATTCACAGTAAATGGATAGTCCTGACACATTTGAGCACTTCCTGTATGCCAGGCACATTGCCAAGTGGGGACTTTACATTTCACAGTGCTCTGAGGTTAGCGTCATTGTCCCATTGTACAGATGAGGAAACTGAGAGATTCAGCGACCTATAGAAGGTCCCATAGCTGGTAAGTGGCAGAGATGGGATTTGGCAGCATTGGCTTCAGAGCCTGTCACTTGAGCCCCTGCCTGTTGGGTGTCTTCCTATAAAGAGGCCGAGACAGAGGCCTCTGTTCCTAGGAGTTGCTGCTCTGGAACGCGCAGTGGCCTCCTGTGCATTGTTTGAGAGAACCACCAGTGTCTCAAGATCTCCAGGAGGTGGCTTTGGGAAGACCTGCTGATAGCAGAGCACACATGGATTCCTTGACTCTCTCAATCCCTACCCTCCCCTTTCCTTGCCATTAGCGGAAAGGACTGTGGCCTACAAATTATAATTGAGGGAAGATAGAGAACAGAGAGGGTGTGGTATTACCTGAACTCACACAGCAACAATGTCTGTTCCAGAGCTGTGCTGTCTGGTGCAGTAGTTGCAAGACACAGGTGGCTATTTTAATTTCAATTGTTAAAATTAAATAAAGGCTGGGGCAATAGCTCACGCCTGTAATCCCAGCACTTTGGAAGGCCAAGGCGGGTGGATCGCTTAGTCCAGGGGTTCAAGACCAACCTGGGAAACATGGCAAAACCCTGTCTCTACAAAAGTACAAAAATTCGCTGGGCATGGTGGCACATGCCTGTAATCCCTGCTACTCAGGAGGCTGAGGTGGGAGGATTGCTTGAGCCCAGGAGGTCGAGGCTTCTGTGAGCCATGATCACAGCCCTGCACTCCACCCTGGGTGACAGGATGGGAGAGACCCCCTCTCAAAAGAAAAATAAAATTAAATATTTATTCGATGAGACTAGACAGGTTTCAAGTGCTCAGTAGCCATCATTTCCATCATTTCAGAAAATCATCTTAGATAACACTGTTCTAAAGCAGCGATCCCCAGCCTTTTTGGCACTAGGGACTGGTTTCATGGAAAGGGTGGGGAATGATTCGGGATGAAGCTGTTCCACCTTAGATCATCAGGCATTAGTTAGATTATCATAAGAAGCCCACAACCTAGGTCCCTTGCATGCACAGGTCACGGTAGGGTTTGCACTACTAGGAGGATCTAATGCCACTGCTGAGCTCACAGGAGACAGAGCTGAGGTGATGATATCAGCTCACTTGCCCACCGCTCACCTCCTGCTGTGGGGCCTGGTTCCTGGCAGGTCATGGACTGCTGCCAATCTGTGGCCCCGGGGTTGGGGACCCCTGGTCTAGAGGAGTATGGCGTGTGGATTAAGAGCAGGCTGTCTGGATTAATATCCCATTTCTGCCTCTGATAGGCACAGTATACTAAGGGCAAAGGCATTCACTTATCTGGACTTCAGTTTTCTTATCTGTAAATTGAGTAGTAATAGAAGTTATTCGGAGTCATCATAAAAATTAGTTACATGTAAAACCCAGCACAGTGCTTAGCACATAGGAAGTACCCTCCGAATAATAGCCACCACCATCATCATTATCATCATTATTATTATTATTATTATTTTTTTTTTTTTTTGAGACGGAGTCTCGCTCTGTCGCCCAGGCTGGAGTGCAGTGGCCGGATCTCAGCTCACTGCAAGCTCCGCCTCCCGGGTTCACGCCATTCTCCTGCCTCAGCCTCCCGAGTAGTTGGGACTACAGGCGCCCGCCACCGCGCCCGGCTAGTTTTTTGTATTTTTTAGTAGAGACGGGGTTTCACTGTGTTAGCCAGGATGGTCTCGATCTCCTGACCTCGTGATCCACCCGTCTCGGCCTCCCAAAGTGCTGGGATTACAGGCTTGAGCCACCGCGCCCGGCCTATTATTATTATTATTATTATTATTATTATTATTATTATTTTTGAAATGGAGTCTCACTGTGTTGCCCATGTTGGAGTGGAGTGACGCAGTCTCAGCTCACTGCAACCTCCACCTCCCGGATTCAAGCGATTCGCTTGCCTCATCCTCCCGAGTAGCTGGGATTAGGCGCCTGCCACCATGCCTGGTTAATTTTTGTATTTTTAGTAGAGATGGGGTTTCACTGTGTCAGCCAGGTTGGTCTCGATCTCCTGACCTCAAGTGATCCACCCGCCTTGGCCTCCCAAAGTGCTGGGATTACAGGTGTGAGACCCCATGTGTGTTTCCTCATTATTATCATTGTTCGAAGTTGGGAGTCCAGGCCTGCCTCGTCCGCAGGGCCACTCCTCCCTGCAGTTCCTGGTCAGTTCCTCCTCCGCATTGTGGAGTTTAACTCCAAGTGTCTGCAGGGATCGCCGTGTTTGGTTACTCCATGGCTGTGTCCATCGGGGGCATCTTGGCTTCCCGCTGTCTGCACGTGGACCTGCTGCACAGCATCCTGCGGTCACCCATGAGCTTCTTTGAGCGGACCCCCAGTGGGAACCTGGTGAACCGCTTCTCCAAGGAGCTGGACACGGTGGACTCCATGATCCCGGAGGTCATCAAGATGTTCATGGGCTCCCTGTTCAACGTCATCGGTGCCTGCATCGTTATCCTGCTGGCAACGCCCATCGCCGCGATCATCATCCCGCCCCTTGGCCTCATCTACTTCTTCGTCCAGGTAAGGGGTGAAGTCTTAGTGTTCAGGACAAGCCCTACTGTGCATCATACACCAGTGTTTCCTAAAGCCTCGTTTTATCTCACCATATCCCCAGTGTGGTGCTTTTGAAGCATGTAGATTTGTTTTTGTCAGTTTCGAATACGTAAATTGTTTTTTTGCTCACAATAACAAAATGCACTTTTTTCCTAAGTTTTATTTTTCCACCTGTCATTTCAAAAAGGAAACAAAACCTATTGCTATAAAGACAACTTCATTATTAAAATTTCTTTTTTTTTTTTTTTTTTTGAGACAGCGTCTCGCTCTGTCGCCCAGGCTGGAGTGCAGTGGCGCAATCTTGGCTTACTGCAACCTCCATCTCCCAGTTCAAGTGATTCCCCTGCCTCAGCCTCCTGAGTTAACAGGCACGCACCACCACAGCCGGCTAATTTTTGTATTTTTGGTAGAGACGGGGTTTCACCAATGTTGGCCAGGTTGGTCTCAAAGTCCTGACCTCAGGTGATCTGCCCACGTCGACCTCCCAAAGTGTTGGGATTACAGGTGTGAGCCACTGCGCCCAGCCTAAAATTTCTTCAAGTATAAAATTCTTTAGTTCCTAAGCCTCCTGCAGGAGACAGGAACTAAAGAAAAAACATGAATAATAGCAGCTTAAATAAGACAGATGTTTCTTTTTCTCTGTCATAATGGAAATTTAGAGGTAGGCTGCTCAGGACTGGTATGGCAGCTTCATGAGTTAAATATCCCAGATACCTGCTTTTATTTAAACATTTTAATAATCTTACCATATTTATACAAGCCTTTCATTCTTAAGTTGGCCTCATGGTCCAAGGTTGCTGCTGGAGCTCCAGCCATTATATCTGTATTTCAGTCAGTGAGACCAAGGAAGGGAAGTAGGGCAAGGGAGCATTTGGGTGCTGAATCAGCACTACTCCCTTATCTGCAGGCACACATTCTTTTTTTTTTTTTTCTTTTTTTTTTTGAGACGGAGTCTCGCTCTGTTGCCCAGGCTGGAGTGCAGTGGCCGGATCTCAGCTCACTGCAAGCTCCGCCTCCCGGGTTCACGCCATTCTCCTCTGCAGGCACACATTCTAAGACCCCTCCTAATGGATGCCTGAAACCGCAGATGGTATTGAATCCTACATATACTGTTTTTTTTCCTGTACATACATACCTATGATAAAATTTCATTTATAAATTTGGCATAATAAGAGATTAATAGCAGTGATTTATAATAAAATAGAACAGTTACAGCAATATGCCAGTATCACTACTCCTGCACTTTAGAGGCGTTATTTTTATTATTATTATTATTATTTTTTGAGACAGAGTCTAGCTGTGTCTTCCAGGCTGGAGTGCAGTGGTGGAATCTTGGCTCACTGCAACATCCGCCTCCCATGTTCAAGCGATTCTCTTGCCTCAGCCTCCCAAGTAGCTGGGATTACAGGCATGTGCCACACCCAGCTAGTTTTTGTATTTTTAGTAGAGACGGAGTTTCACCATGTTGGCCAAGCTGGTCTCAAACTCCTGACCCCAAGTGATCCGCCCGCCTCAGCCTCCCAGAGTGCTGGGATTACAGGCATGAGCCACTGTGCCCAGCCAGGAGCATTATTGAGTAAATTCGGGTTACTTACACATAAGCCCCACAGTACCATGGCAGTCAGTCTGATAACGGATATGGCTGTTAAGTGACTAAACTGGCAGGGAGGGTCTGCAGCGTGAATCCGCTGGACAAAGGGATGATTCACACCCCAGATGGGACTGGGGGAGATTTCATCACACTACTCAGAAGGGTGCACAATTTAAAACTTACACATTATTTATTTCTGAAATTTTTCATTTATTTCATTTCATTTACTGTTTTTCGATCGCAGTTGACCATGGATAACCAAAACCATGTGTATTAGTTTATCCTCATGCTGCTGTGAAGAAATACTCAATACTGGGTAATTTATTGAGGAAAAAGATGCGATTGACTCACAGTTCCGCACGGCTGAGGAGGCCATGGCAGAAGGAGAAGCAAACATGTCCTCCTTCACATGGCGTCAGGAAGAAGAATGAGGGCGCCACGAAGTCAGGGAGCTCCCCTATAAAACCATCAGATCTTGTGAGAACTAACTCACTATCATGCGAACAGGTTGGGGGAAACTGCCCCTATGATTCAGTTATCTCCAGCTGGTCCCTCCGATGACACATGGGGATTAACGGAACTATAATTCAGGATGAGATGTGGGTGGGGACACAGCCAAACCATATAGCCGTGGAAAGCGAAACCTTGGATCAGAGGGACACCTGTACATCTAATTGTCCGGAACTTAGTCATGGGACCAGCTGTATTCACAAGGGACCCTGGGAAGTGTCATGTTTCAGCTGGGCACATAGCACTTCCCAACAAGAAGTTTCTGTTGGGCCTGGGCGTGGTGGCTCACGCCTGTAGTTCTAGCCCTTTGGGAGGCTGAGGCGGGTGGATCACCTGAAGTCAGGAGTTTGAGACCAGCCTGACCAATATGATGAAACCCTGTCTCTACTAAAAATACAAAAATTAGCCAGGTGTGATGGCATGTGCCTGTAATCCCAGCTACTCGGAAGGCTGAGACAGGAGATTGCTTGAACCCGGGAGGCGGAGGTTGCAGTGAGTCAAGATTGCGCCACTGCACTCCAGCCTGGGTGACAGAGCGAGACTCTGTCTCAGAAAAATAAAGAAGTTTCTGTTGGGAAAGAAGGAGAAATTGTGTAGGCAGTCAGTCATCTCTGCTGCATCCCTTCTGCAGAAACGGTTATATGTTCTTTGTTCTTTAAACACATGTGGTTTCTTAGCATATCGCAGGATAGATCATGTTTTCAATTGACAGGTGGAACATCTTGCTAAGTGGGAGAGCTGAGAGTGCAACCTCAAGTCTCTCCATTTCCCAAACTGTGCCGTTACTTACCCCTAAAAGATTAACTGCAGCACGGTTGCCAGTAGGGATGGGTTGTTTAGATGGGAGCATTCCAGCTGCAAAGCAAAACAAGAGTAAGAAACCATGAGGTATGGCATATTTCAAATCATGCTGCACAGCTGTTCAGGTGGCATCCAGGGGGCCTTGGTTCAGTCAGCCGGCCCCTGCGCACCACTACACTGTGGCCCAATGATTGATGAGAACAAACAGTGATGGAATCAGAGAGTAGGTCCGGTTCCCGGAGTCTCATTATATCCCCTTGAAATTGGTGCCAGCTTTTTTTTTTTTTTTTTTTTTTTTTTGCATTTACTAAAAATGTTATCTATGTTCATACGCCAGCTGGAAAATTTCCTGAAAGACTCAAAAAGAAGACTCCAAAACAGGCCAAATGCAATGTTGAGGGCAACTTAAATGTCTGCCAATAGCAGGACCTTGGGGACACCGTGGAGCGATGTGGCTTTGAGCAGGGGTACACAGTGGAACAGTGTGGCTTTGAGCAGGGATAATTAGAAGACACAGCTGTTGGAACACCAAGGATTTTATTTTTCAACAACAAAGGAAATGATTTCAGCAAAGGACCAAGTTGTATGTGCGCTGTCATCACTGAGATAAAATGTATAATGTGTGTGGGCAGGACTGGAAGGGAGGTGGATACATGAAAACATCCTCTTTTTTAAGGGTCAAGATTATAGGATAGTAAATTTTTTAATGGCTTTTGGCTAAACGTACATTTATCCTCTCACCAGGCAGTCTCATTCTTAAGTGTATATGGGAAAAAAAAAAAAAAGCAAAGGCAGTGCTTAGAATATTCTCAGCATCTTGATTCATAATCGGCCCAAACTGGAAACAGCTCAAATGTCCGTTAACAGGACTGTGGAGAAATAAATTGTGATATAATTATACAATCTATGGCCGAGTAGTAAAAAGGAATGGAATGCTAATACACAACAATTTGGGTTTATCTCACAGATAATTACAGTGATCAAAAGAAGCCAGACGCAAAAGAGTAGGTACTTTGAGATTTCATTTACATGAAGTTTGGTCGGGTGAGGTGGCTTATGCCTGTCATCTCAGCACTTTGGGAGGCCGAGGCGGGAGGATCGATTGGGCGCAGGAGTTCGAGACCAGCCTGAGCAAAATGGGAATACCTGATCTCTACCGAAAATATAAAAATTAGCTGGGTGTGGCGGCATGCACCTGTAGTCCCACCTACTTGAGAGGCTGAGGTGGAAGGGTCACTTGAGCCTGGGAGGTGAAGGTTGCAGTGAGGTGACATTGTGCCACTGCACTTCAGCCTTGGTGACAGAGCAAGTTGTCTCAAAAAAACATGAGGTCGGCGGGGCGGGTGGATCACCTGAGGTCAGGAGTTTGAGACCAGCCTGGCCAACATGGTGAAACTCCGTCTCTACTAAAAATACAAAAATTAGCCAGGTGCGGTGGTGGGCGCCTGCAATCCCAGCTACTCAGGAGGCTGAGGCAGGAGAATTGCTTGAACCTGGGAGGCAGAGGTTGCAATGAGCCGAGATTATGCCACTGCACTCCAGCCTGGGTGACACAGCAAGACTCTGTCTTAAAAACTAAAAAAATTATCAGATCATTCCTGAACAAATATTCATCTCAGGTTAGATTTTTCCAGTAAATAAGGTTCGGAGGCAGCGGCAAGTGGAGGAAATTGAACAGGTAACACCCTTCAGAGCGATTTACATCTGGACTGTTCAGAAGGCAAGCCAATGAGAGAGGAAGGAGATGTGGTCCAGGGTAAGATGGGGCAGAACCACCTGGGCCTTCAGCAGCGCAGAGGGGTCTGGATTTCATGGGAGGCGGTGGGAACAGCTGGAGAAGAAATTATATCTGATCCACATTCCAGAAATTGGCGGAACAGCTCTTCTGAGACTGCGTGGGGTTGTGTGGTGCCTGGGTTCACTTACAGAGCTTCTAGGGCCTCAGGAGGCTCTCCATCTGTGGTTCCAATTAATGCCTGTGCCGCCACCCAGAAAGAAGCTGCCAACCACAGAGGCCTCGTAAAAGCCACCTGCTGCTGTTGATGCTCTCTGTTGGACTCTGCCCCAAAGCAGCCCAGTACACCTGGCGCAGGGCAGGACGCAGGGAGGCTGAGTTCCTAGCAACCCCGTATTAGTTTTCCCAGCTCTGCTGTCAATAAGAAATTGTAGGCACCTTTTGGAATCGGGAACCCTGAGCTCACCAGTTCCTTTTGCATAGATGAGAAAACCTAGTCTAGGAGAGTGCGGTGTCCTCAAATGGCTGGTGCAGCCTCTGATCCACAGCTCCACAAAGCTTCCAGAGGGTGGCTGGCTTTTGTTCTGAATCTAACGAGACTTAGCGGGCGGCTCTTGGTGCCTGGCACTGGCTAAATGCCCAGGTTGGGGCAGGCAGAGCAGATGAGGCATCTCCCGGCGAGGGTGGGTGGAGCTGCTTGTGAAACGTATCATCGTAGCCCAGGAGCTGGGACACTGAAGCCCGGAGATGGTGCTCATGTTGGAGGATGGGAAGGGCTTCCCTAGGAAGTGACATTTGTGCTACCATCTGCTGGGTGATGAGGAATGGCCTGGATGGGACAGGAATGGTGGTAGGGACAGGCGGCCTGTGTACAGGAAAGGAAGGGGAGAGTTACAGGACAAGATGAGTTGAGGGAAGCGTGGTTGGCAACTCTAAGAGCACTGGGAGGCCATCGAAGGAGGAGGGTGACAAGATTGACCTCATCTTCATGGGCATCTCAGCTGGGCTGAGTGTCCCAGAACCGGCCATTGCAGGGACACAGTCACCCCTGAGGGGATGTGATCAACAGGTGGAATTCTGTCACTTAACTGTAGTCACCAGCTAACTGAGTGCTTACTGTTAGGTCAAACTATATGAAATTGCTAATATTCATTTCTTATCTATAGAAACAGCCATTTCTTATGGTTCAACCTAATATTACCAGGCACTGTGCTTAGTGACATCATGTATATCTAGATGATTTATGAAATAATGTAGCCACGCAAATATACATCACATGTAAGACTGTAATTCTTACATGTCACCCTCACAATGACCCTGTGAAGCAAGCCTTGTGGGTTTTTTTTTTTTAATAATTTTTTGTTTTTGTAGAGATGGCGTTTTGCCATGTGCCTGGGCTGATCTCAAACTCCTGACCTCAAGTGATGTCCCGCCTCTGCCTCCTGAAGTGTGGGTATTACAAGCATAAGCCACCACACCTGGCCAAGCAAGCCTTGTTGTTCCCATTTTACAGATGAGGAAACTGAGGCTTAGAGAAATAAAGTGTTAGCCGTGTTTATATTGCCAGTCAGTAGTTGAGTCAGGATTTGAACTGAGGTCTCGTTGACCTCAAAGCCTATCCCCAAAACCACACTGCTGGTTCTAGAAAGCCCTAGAGGTGGAAGGCTTCAGAGAGGCAGTACAGGGTAGAGGTTAGCCCTTTGCAGTCCAGATGTCCTGGGTTTGAATCCCAGCTCTGCCCCTTGCTAGCCACGTCACCTTGGGGAGGAGATTAACGAGCTTCTTTGTGCCTTAGTTTACTCATCATATATAGGAATGAGCACCTCGTAGGTTTTTTGTGAGGATTGAATGAACTGATGTTTGTAAAAATGCTTAGAACTATGCCTGGAGCAGTAGTCTTTGTATAAGCATGAGCTATTAATCGTCACCATCCTTGTCATTGGTGCTATCCCTGTGCTTCACCAGGTGCATGGGCACCCGTGTGAGAGCAGCCCGGCTCTAACATTTTGCTTCCTGGAGGCTTCGGTGATGTCTAGACTTTGTCCAGCACAGCCGTGCCCTGGGAGGATGGGATGAGGGAACCTTCATCAACTCCCCGCATCTGTTCTCTACTCCAGAGGTTCTACGTGGCCTCCTCCCGGCAGCTGAAGCGCCTCGAGTCCGTCAGCCGCTCCCCAGTCTATTCCCATTTCAACGAGACCTTGCTGGGGGTCAGCGTCATTCGAGCCTTCGAGGAGCAGGAGCGCTTCATTCACCAGAGTGACCTGAAGGTGGACGAGAACCAGAAGGCCTATTACCCTAGCATCGTGGCCAACAGGTGGGCATGGTGGGCCCACAGGAGGAGGCGGAGGAGGCCGCCTTAGCACCTTGTGCCTTTGCCTAGATCTCTTCCTCGTATCTTCAGCTGGGTACAAAGCCAAACCTGGGCCTTTGCAGAAAGGGTGGAGAGGCCTTGATGAGCGCAGAGGAGTGATGAATCATTAAGGGTAGAGAGCAGCACTGTAGACATGCAGTGCCTGGGGCATTTAAATGCAGGGACACAGTTGTTCTGGAGTCAGAAAGCCCTGCAGGTGCTTCCCATTAACTGTCGTCCTAGTGACGCAAGACTGTCAGCGACAGACTCTGCTATTGAGAATCTTCATGCTGCTGTTCCTGTCTGGGGGTGGTCATGCACCCCTGGGTGAAGTGTGTCAGAAGCAATTTACTAATACTAAACTGAACCATATGAGATTGTCATCTTGTGGGCCAGATGTCATGGCTCACGCCTATAATCTCAGTACTTTGGGAGGCGGAGGCAGGAGGATCCCTTAAGGCCAGAGATTCCAGGCCAGCCTGGGCAACATAGCAAGACCCCCATCTCTCTTAAAAAAAAAAAAAAAAAAAAAAAAGGGCCGGGCGCAGTGGCTCAAGCCTGAAATCCCAGCACTTTGGGAGGCCGAGACGGGTGGATCACAAGGTCAGGAGATGGAGACCATCCTGGCTAACCCAGTGAAACTCCGTCTCTACTAAAAAATACAAAAAACTAGCCCGGCGAGGTGGTGGGCGCCTGTAGTCCCAGCTACTCGGGCAGCTGAGGCAGGAGAATGGCATAAACCCGGGAGGCAGAGCTTGCAGTGAACTGAGATCTGGCCACCGCACTCCAGCCTGGGCGACAGAGCGAGACTCAGTCTCAAAAAAAAAAAAGTAGCCTGTCATGGTGGTGTGTGCCTGTAGTCCTAGCTTCTCGAGAGGCTGAGGCTGGAGGATCGTTTGAGCCCAGGAGTTCAAAGATGCATTGAGGTATGATTGCACCACTGCACTCCAGCCTGGGCGACAGAATGAGATCCTGTCTCTGGAAAAACAAAAAAAAGGAGATGGGGGTGGGAGATTGACAGCTTGCGGATCACAGATAATAGCATCAATCCAAAAGAGGCAGAAGTTTGCTAATTATTTGCTGAATTTAGAGAAGTGTCTGACTTACCCCTAAAATAGCATCTCTCTCACCCATTTGCATCCTGATAGACTTTGCTGACAAAGTGACCACACCCCAGAGGTGTCCCACAGCCATTAGCCCATCTTACACCCTCTCATCCCAAGTATAAACCTGGGTGCGCCAACCCTGAATGACTAGAGACCTTGACTTCCCTTGCAGAATTTTTAGGGAGTTTGTCACAATCTGGCTGTGTCTGCCGGAGTAGTAAGGATCAATCACGTGGTTCATAACGGCTGCAATGGAGAAAAGATCAACACCCCATCTTCCTAGAATGCTTTATATTAGAACATTAAAGTAATAGTTACAGTGCTATATGATATCATACGAAGCCTAGCTTTAAACAAATAAGGTGGCCAGGCACGGTGGCTCACGTCTGTAATCCCAGCACTTTGGGAGGCCAAGGCGGGTGGATCACCTGAAGTCAGGAGTTCGAGACGAGCCTGGTCAACATGGTAAAACTCCGTCTATATTAAAAATACAAAAAAATTAGCTGGGCATGGTGGTGGGTGCCTGTAGTCCCAACTACTTGGGAGGCAGAGGCAGAAGAATCACTTGAACCCAGGAGGCAGAGGTTTCGGTGAGCCAAGTCTGTGCCATTGCACTCCAGCCTGGGCAACAAGAGCAAAACTCCATCTCAAAAAATAATAGAATAGCACAGGAGAGAAGAGAAGAATAAAATGAAAAGTAAAATAAAATAGTTCTGATGCTACGTGATACCATACGTAACCTAGCTTTAAACAAATAAGATGACCGGGCACAGTGTTCACATCTGTAATCCCAGCACTTTGGGTGGCCAAGGTAGGAGGGTCGCTTGAGACCAAGAGTTTGAGACCAGCCTGGGCACTATAGGGAGACCCTGTCCCTGAAAAAAAAGAAAAAAATAAACAAAAAAAAAGCCAGGTGTGGTGGCGTGGGCCTGTAGTCCCAGCTACTCAGGCTGAGGCAGGGGGATCACTTGAACCTGGAAGGTTGAGGCTGCAATGAGCTGTGATCCTGTCATCCACAGTCCAGCGTGGATGACAGAGCAAGACCCCATCTCAAAAAAAACAAAACGACAGAAAACAAGATTTCCGTGTCTATTTTAAAGGATAAAATAGTGTATTTTCACATTTTGAAATGAAGAAGAGTCTGGGTTTCGGAACGTTACAGTGATGTTTACTCGTGCTCCTTACCCACCGCCCTCTCAGCTCTGTCTCGTAGCAAGAGACTGTTATTTTCTACTTGTTTTTAGCCAAAAGGCTGAGAAATAATGATGGTTATTTTTAAATCACTGGTGTCTCTTATAGTTGATGTCTTCTTAGTATTTAGGAATTTCCAGGACGTCTTTTTTGTTGTTGTTGTTAATGCATTATATGTGTGTGTGTGTATATATGTGTATATGTGTGTGTATATATATATACACTGTGTATATATATGTATATATGTATATACATATATACATATATACACACACACGCACAGAGAAAGAGAGAGAGAGAGAGATGATTACAGGCATTAGCCACTGCGCCCGGCTTATATATATATGTTTTAAAGACTTCAATGAGAAAAAGGTTGGTTTTTAAAAAGGCAAGCTTCAGATTCCAGGGAAGATTGCCTCTGTAGAGCTGTGTTTTAATCCATGGGTTTGCCAGATTCATGAGTGTTTACTGGCATTGTGCGCTTTCGGCCCTCCCTCCTCTGCGCCCATTGTGCATGTTTTGAAAAAGCAATGTCAGGAAGGGCTCTCTGGAACTCTTGCGGAGTTACTTGAGTTAGCAAAGAATCCCCTTCTGCCCCCAAGAGCTGTAAGCCGAGTCTCTGTAAAGCTGACTCCACGCCTGTTTGTCTGCCTGTGTGTCCTGGCGCAGGTGGCTGGCCGTGCGGTTGGAGTGTGTGGGCAACTGCATCGTTCTGTTTGCTGCCCTGTTCGCGGTGATCTCCAGGCACAGCCTTAGCGCTGGCTTGGTGGGCCTCTCAGTGTCTTACTCATTGCAGGTAAGAGGGGATGCTCGTAACTGGATTATTAAAGTCTGTTAATGGGGGAGCCAGTTGTCCTTTTCTTTGGATTCCAACTGCAACAGCAATGGGGGAGAGGAACGTGAGAGGCATGGAGTTTCAGGAGTGGGTAGAGCGCCTGGTGACCAACTAGAGCAGGAGAGGGATTTGACATGAATCCAGTATTTCCCCCATTAGTCACAGAGATTCCTTGGTGGCCCATAGAGGATACTTCCAGCTACGAGGGGAATGCTTTTAAAACTATGAATTTCCCTTTAAGAACTGCTTTAGCTGCATCTCACAAATGGTGATACATTGTGTTTTCATATTGTCACCTGGTTAAAAATATTTTCCAGTTTCTTATTACTTTTGTGACCCATGAGTTATTTTGGAAACATGGTATATGTGCTTAGGAGATAGCAATGTGGCATGCCTCGGTGATGGCTATAGCTGGGTTTGTTAATTTCTGTACCTTTCTTACCTGTTTCATAATTCATAACTTTTTTTTTTTTTTTTTGGAGACAGAGTCTCACTCTGTTACCCAGGCTGGAATGCAGTGGCATGATCGTGGCTCACTGCAACCTCTGCCTCCTGGGTTCGAGTGACTCTCCTGCCTCAGCCCCCCCAAATAGCTGGGGTTACAGGCGTGTGTCACCACGGCTGGTTAATTTTTGTATTTTTAGTAGCAACTGATGGGGTTTCGCCATGTTGGCCAGGCTGGTCTCAAACCCCTGACCTCAGATGATCTGCCCGCCTCGGCCTCCGATAATTCATTCTTGTTGAAAATAATTTGTTTCCTGTTATCTCAGTGGAAAAAGAAAAGAAAAATATGCCTGCTCACTCTAGAAATGCCACGTGACTCTTCCACTCGCAGGTCACCACGTACTTGAACTGGCTGGTTCGGATGTCATCTGAGATGGAAACCAACATCGTGGCCGTGGAGAGACTCAAGGAGTATTCAGAGACCGAGAAGGAGGTAGGCAAGGGCCCCTGGCCGGACCTGTAGGTCTTTGGTGTAGCTTTACCCCAAGGAGATCTCTGAGCCCTGTCCTGTGCACCTCTGCCTCTGAGCAGGGGAGTGAGCTGGATACCCCACCAGGTAGAGGTGCATCTTATGCTTGTCCAGTCTGTTTGCAGCACTTACTTAGAGCTCAGTGTTAGGGTGAAAATAATTTACTGGCTTTCCCCAAGATTTGGGGTATCCATGTACGAGACTGTGGGATGCTATCAGGGCATTCAGAAGGTATTCACATTGTGAAGAAGGTCCCCCTCTAGTTCTTGTTCATAACTTGGAACAGTATCACAGAGAAAGTCTTGGTCTGGTGCTGGCAGGTCTTTAACACCTTAGCAATTGAGATGATCTCCCTTCAATAGATAAACAGCAGCCTTTGCACTTAGAGCCTCAACAGGACGGCCTCTATCAAAAATAACCTTCTGTTGTTTGTTATGTATTTGGTTTTTTTGTATGTGAGATGGATTCTCACTGTTGCCCAGGCTGGAGTACAGAGGTGTGATCTCGGCTCACTGCAACCTCCGCCTCCCAGGTTCAAGTAATTCTCCTGCCTCATCCTCTGGAATAGCTGGGATTACAGGTGCCTGCCATCATGCCTGGCTAATTTTTGTATTTTTAGTAGAGATGGCGTTTCACTAAGTTGGCCAGGCTGGTCTCAAACTCTTAACCTCAGAATATCCACCTGCCTCAGCCTCCCAAAGTGCTGGGATTACAGGCTTGAGCCACTGCACCTGCCCTATTGTGTATTTGTATGGGGGACTCCTGTTACGGAAAATACTACTACTTTACCATTTGTGATTGTAATAAATGTTCCTCTTAAGTAAGTTGAGAAATGAAGCCTAAGTGACTTGATTAAGCATATTAAAACAACAAGAGAATGAGTCGATGCATACTACACAAATGATGTAGCCGAGAACTGACCAAAGTTTGGAAAACCCTGCTGTTATTTAACCACAGCCCCCTTTTTATAGATGGAGAAACAGGGAACCTGGGGAGGCACGATGGCTGATCCAAGGTCCCACATGGCTTGGTAGAACAGCTGGGACCAGGACCTGTGCTTCCAGTCTTTGATGTCGCGTTGCACTTAATAACTGCCTTCTTAGGCCCTGAGCACCAGCACGAGTAGGAACAGCAGTGATAATCACAGTAATGCCTGGCGACACCCCAACCCCCACCAGTAATAATAACAGGGACACACGTAGTGCCTTGTAGAATGTCAGAGCCAGACCTAAATGTTTAACACAGAGTAATACGCTCAATCTTTATCCTGCCCTATGATTGATTTCTGAGAAACGGTCTCATGCTTGCCCAGGTTAGAGTGTGGCGCGATCTCACTCGCTGCCTCCCAGGCTCAAGTGATTCTCCTCCTGAGTGTCTGGTACCACAGGTGCATGCCATCACGCCCGCTGATGTTTGTATTTTTAGTAGAGATGGGGTTTTGCCATGTTGCCCAGACCGGTCTCGATCTCCTGAGCTTGAGTGATCTTCCTGCCTTGGCCTCCCAAAGTGCTGGGATTACAAGCGAGAGCCACTGTGCTTGGCCCAGCCCTATGATTTAGGTGCTGTTATTACCCCAATTTTACAGGTGAGGAAACTGAGACAAAAAGGTGAAGTTATTTGCCCAAGATCACATGGCTGGTAAATGGCAGACCTAGGCATTGAGCCTGTGCCTTCTCGGAGACCCTGTCCAGTGCCATGGGGGTCATGCTACACTGCCTCCTGAGGAGATGCCCCTTGGGAGTGAGACCAAGGCCTCTGCAAGGTCTGTCCTCCTGAGGAATTCACAGAGGTGACCTCAACCCACTCCTTTAACATTCTAACTGGGTGAACCGGTCCCGTGTCACGGGTGAGCATTGTAAGAATGGCGTGAGTGTCCCCGTGAGGAACCAAGGGTGCATTACACCGGCAGCTTCCAACTTGACACTGAATTTATATAATTCATTTACAGGGCATTTCATTTAGGTTTGGTTTGGCTTTTTTTTTTTAATATGGAATTTTGCTTTTTTTGCCCAGGCTGGAATGCAGTGGCACAATCTTGGCTCACTGCAACCTCCACCTCCTGGGTTCCAAGTGATTCTCCTGCCTCAGCCTCCCAAGTACCTGGGATTACAAGTACCTGCCATCCCGCCCAGCTAACTTATTTCATTAGTTTTTATAATAGCCTCATTGGTATGTGAATTTCATATGCCGCACAATTCACCTAGTTAAAGCATGCAGTTTCACTGAATTCAGTTTTGTTTTTTTGTTTGTTCGATACTGAGTCTGGCTCTAGGCTGGAGTGCAGTGGCATGATCTCAGCTCACTGCAACCTCCACCTCCTGGGTTCAAGCGATTCTCAGCCTCCTGAGTAGGTGGGATTACAGGCAATTTTTGTATTTTTAGTAGAGACGGGATTTCACCCTGTTGGCCCGGCTGGTGTTGGACTTTTGACCTCGTGATCCACCCGCCTCAGCCTCCCAAAGTGCTGGGATCACAGGTGTCAGCCACCATGCTCGGCCTGAGTTCAGTTTTCAAAAGCATTTTACTTTTGACTGAGTTTTATATTTTTAGAAGGAGTGTGTTTGACAAACCCAGGAGAAAGTAATCGTCCTCATTAGTCCTACCACTATTCTGTATTTACATGTATTTTTATATACAGATAGAAAGCTCCACATACTTCTCTCCATTCCCCTCACTGTGTTGTTATAGCATCTCCCCTTCAATTATGTACATAAATTATAAAATAGAGATATGCTTGTTATTTTAAAAAAGAAAAAATCAATACAGGGCTGGACACAGTGGCCCACACCTGTAATCCCAGCACTTTGAGAGGCCAAGGTGGGTTGGTCACTTGAAGCCAGGAGTTCGAGACCAGTCTGGCCAACATGGTGAATCCCGTCTGTACTAAAAATACAAAAATTAGCCGGGCATGGTGGTGGGTGCCTGTAATCCCAGCTACTTGGGAGGCTGAGGTGGGAGGATCGCTGGAACCCAGGAGGTGGAGGTTGCAGTGAGCTGAGGTCATATCACTACACTCCAGCCTGGGTGACAGAGCAAGACTGTCTCAAAAAAAAAAAAACCCCAAAAAAATAAGTTTATGGCAGAGAATGAAAGTTGGTTCCTGTTGCCAGGCACGGTGACTCATGCCTGTAATCCTAGCACTTTGGGAGGCTGAGGCGGGCGGATCACAAGGTCAGGAGTTCGAGACCAGCCTGGCCAACATGGTGAAACCCTGTCTCTACTAAATATAAATAAATAAATTTTCTGGGTGTGGTGGCACATGCCTGTAATCCCAGTTACTCAGCAGGCTGAGGCAGGAGAATTGTTTGAACTGGGACCCGGGAGGCAGAGGTTGCAGTGAGCTGAGATCACGCCATTGCACTCCAGCCTGGGCAACAAGAGCAAAACTCTGTCTTAAAAAAAAAAAAAAAGAAAGAAAGAAAGTTTGTTCCTGTTTGCCCGGTTCCTCTCCTTCCCAGAGAAAGGCTCCATTAGCATTCAGGTGCATTTCCCCCAGAACTTTCCGGTGTGGATTCCCACATACCCCCACACGTTTGTTTGCTTGTTTCTTTTTCTTTTAACATAAGTGAGATCTACCTGTTATCCTGTGACACCTTTTCTTTAACCATGAGGCACCTTTGCATCCGCGTTTAATAATAGTCTCTGCCTCTAAGGGCTGCTGTGAGGCCCAGATGAGATCATGGGTCTCAAGTGCTGAGCAGAGCAACTTGCATTAGTTGCACTGAAAGTGCTCAGTAACACTTACTTTTTGGCCGCGCGCAGTGGCTCAGGCCTGTAATCCCAGCACTTTGGCCCACTGCAACCTCTGCCTCCCAGGTTCTAGTTATCCTCCTGCCTCAGCCTCCCAAGTAGCTGAGATTACAGGCTCCCACCCATCAGGCCCAGCTAATTTGTGTATTTTTAGTAGAGCCAGGGTTTCACCGTGTTGGTCAGGCTGGTCTCAAACCCCTGACCTCAAGTGATCTGCCCGCCTCGGCCTCCCTAAGTGCTGGGATTACAGGTGTGAGCCACCGCGCCTGGCCACGCCGTTATTTTATAGCACATCCACAAAAGGGCTGCGTGTCGTGCGTAACAGGTACCCGGCGTTTTCTTGTGATGTGCTCTCTGCTGTGCCCCTGAGCTTGGCCATATGCTCTGCAGCCTGGTTCAGCACCTGTGTGTGCCCTGGAGGAATGTGCACACCCTGAGGCTAAAACCACTGAACCGGGCCCAGGCCACATCCCGCCGTGGGCCGCAGGAAATGCTGAACTGAACTACTTTTCAGAAGGAGGGTGGTGTGTCCCTGGGCAAGTCACCGCCCCTCTCTGTGCCTCAGTCTTCTTGTGTGTAAACTGGGGATAGTAAAAGGATCCCCCACATGGGATTGCTGTGAGGACTGGATGAGGCACTGTGATACAGCTGCTGCTTTTATCCTTGCCTTCCTGCCGGTGGGGGCAGCCAGGGTCACTCACTGTCATTCTCATGCCTGTCTGGAGAAGACCACTCATTTTATTGACTCTGTTTGTTTATAAATATTTATTTTAAAAAAAAATTATCAAAAAGTAAGTTTTATTGGCATCTAAAAAAATTTACCCAACATTGAAACATAACATCAATATTTATGTTATTGTGTTCTTCTTTCTTTTTTTTTTTTGAGACGGAGTCCCGCTCTGTCGCCCAGGCTGGAGTGCAGTGGCGCGATCTCGGCTCACTGCAAGCTCCGCCTCCCGGGTTCCCGCCATTCTCCTGCCTCAGCCTCCTGAGTAGCTGGGACTACAGGTGCCCGCCACTACGCCCGGCTAATTTTTTGTATTTTTAGTAGAGACGGGGTTTCACCGAGTTAGCCAGGATGGTCTCGATCTCCTGACCTTGTGATCCGCCCGCCTCGGCCTCCCTCTTGTTTCTTTTTTACTCACTGCAGTGTGAGGAGCAAATCACAAACATTTACTTTACAGAAACAGAGGCCATAGTGTAGATTTTACAAAATCACTTTTTAAAATCTCTGTATTGTGCTCCTCAAATATCTAGAGCCAGTGTGTGTATAAAATGTCACACTGTTGTCTAAACCTTAAAATTCTACATCAGCCTAAGGATACGGATAAGATATACCTCTACTTGCTCTTTTGAAAAATATCTATTACCTTATCCAACCTAATGATAGCTATCTAAAAAATTCTTTCTTTCATAGGAAGTCTCTGACAAGCTGTTATCCATTTCCTTGACGTTAAAAGAATCTGGGGGCAACATTTCTATTGTATCAGAAAAATTCTTTTAAAGTTTACCTATCATGTTCATATTAAGAACATTGTGTGTGACTGGGCATGGTGGCTCATGCCTGTAATCCCAGCACTTTGGGAGGTGGAGGTGGGCGGATCACCTGAGGTCGGGAGTTAAGAGACCAGCCTGGCCAACATGGTGAAACCATGTCTCTACCAAATGGTGGCGGGTGCCTGTAGTCCCAGCTACTCAGGAGGCTGAAGCAGGAGAATCGTTTGAACCTGGGAGGCAGAGGTTGCAGTGAGCTGAGATCATGCCATTGCACTCCAGCCTGGGAGACAGAACGAGACGCCATCTCAAAAAAAAAAAAAAAAAAAAAGCAATGTCTGTAGAAGTCAGTTGTTCAACTATTTTAAGAGAAAGGTGAACATGAACATCAGGTTAATTCTGGCAGACAAAAATGAACTGCTGTGGTCCAGTCAGCCATTATGTATCACAGAGAGATGCCAGCATTACAGAAGGGTGTCTCTGTCCTGCTGAACGATGATTATGTCCCCTCAGTTTCTGTGCGTTCTACCACTGGTTCACTTTCTACGTCAGCAGCTGTGTCACTCTTCTTATTTATGTTCGTATTTATTGAGCACCTACTATGTACTCTGAGCCCTGGGATACAGCAGTGAACAATTAGAGCCTGTCCTCATGGAGTGGCTGGTGCAGTGGGCGTGGGAGACAGTGTACACTCAGGCGTACGAGCCCCGAGAGGGCTGGGGACAGGCAGTGCCCTGAAGGAGAAGGCAGCACGGGAGGGGACAGAGGGACACAGGGCTGGGAGGGCGCTCTGCATCGACCAGAGATCCACAGGATGCCAGGGGGTCTTTTGGGGAAGAACGTTCCAGGAAGGGCAGCCCCCCAGTGCTGAGGCCTGCGGCAGAGTGAGTGAGAGGGGAGGTCAGGGGAGTCACGGCTTTCCAGGATGGACTGGGAATTCCTTACTGTCTCCCTCTGCTGCGATCAAAGGCACCTTGGCAAATCCAGGAGACAGCTCCGCCCAGCAACTGGCCCCAGGTGGGCCGAGTGGAATTCCGGAACTACTGCCTGCGGTACCGAGAGGACCTGGACTTCGTTCTCAGGCACATCAATGTCACCATCAATGGGGGAGAAAAGGTGGGTACACATGGCCCCATTCCTCTACCCATCCCCAGTCGGGCACAGGGTGCCACCGGGCAGATGAATCAAGCTGTGGCGTCTCCGCAGTCACTCACGGCTCCACACCTCCGCTTGAATGGCTTTTCCAGGGGATGGGAGTGGAGCGTGGCAGTAAAAGCTGTTCAGAGCGCATCCAACTTGTAGAAGTGAAGGCTTTTAGGTGAACTGACAGCCCAAAGACCAAATGAGCCCCACAGATACGTTTTGGAAGATTTTTTATTTATTTATTTTTTTGAGACAGGGTCTCGCTCTGTCGCCCAGGCTAGAGTGTGGTGGGCTGTGGAGTTGGCTCGACCAGATGACTGATGCCTGAGGTGGGGCCGAGATGAGGGCACTGTGGGGCAGGGACAAGTCCGGATGCCAGCATTCCCACCACACCTGCACCCTTCTGTCCTGCAGGTCGGCATCGTGGGACGGACGGGAGCTGGGAAGTCATCCCTGACGCTGGGCTTATTTCGGATCAACGAGTCTGCCGAAGGAGAGATCATCATCGATGGCATCAACATCGCCAGGATCGGCCTGCACGACCTCCGCTTCAAGATCACCATCATCCCCCAGGTGGGCTCTGCGTGTGGCCCAGGCGGTGAGCCAGGGCTGGCAAGCCCTGTGATGGCACTAACAGTGATGTATGTATATTTTGGGAGCAAACATACATTTGGCCCTACTTTGTCGTTTTTTGGTTTTGTTTTGTTTTTTCTGAAACAGGGTCTCGCTCTGTTGCCCAGGCTGGAGTGCACTGGTGCAATCTCAGCTCACGGCAACCTCCGTCTCCCAGGCTCAAGCGATTCTCCCATCCCAGCCTCCTCAGTAGCTAGGACTATAGGCACACACCACCACACCCAGCTACATTTTTTTTTGTATTTTTTGTGGAGATGTGGTTTCACCTTGTTGCCCAGGCTGCTCTTAAATTCCTGGGCTCCAATGATCCACCCACCTTGGCCTCTAAAAGTGCTGGGATTACAGGCGTGAGCCACTGTGCCTGGCCTTCGTTGTTTTCATTGAAGTTAGGCTATGCCACTGTTTCCCTGAATTTCCTGTTAGCATACGATTAACAATGTGGGAATTAACTATCAGCCCCAACTTCCCGTCCCCACAAGGGGTAGTTTCAGAGCGTCTAGAAAAATCCAAAAAGACACCATCTTCTCTCTCTGCTGCCAGAGTCAGACTGAGAATCTCTAACCCTTCCACGAGCCAGACAAAGACTTTTTAATTTTAGATTCACGGGGTGCACCTGCAGGCTTGTTACATGGGTATATTGTATGATGCTGATGCTTGGGCTTCTGCGGATCTCATCACCCAAATATTGAATAAAGTACCTGAGAGAGAGTTTCTGAACCATTACCCTCCTCCATCTGTCCCCACTTTTGGAGGCTCCGGTGTCTATCATTTCCATCTTTACATCCATGAATACCCAGAGTTTAGCTCCCACTTATAAGTCAGAACATGCAGTATTTGGTGAGAAATAAGGATTTTCTTTTTTTTTTTTTTTTTTTTTTTTAATTGAGACAGAGTCTCACTGTGTCACCCAGTTCTGTGGCATGATCTCAGCTTACTGCAACCTCCACCTCCTGGGTTCAAGCGATTCTCCCGCCTCAGCCTCCCAAGTAGCTGGGATTACAGGTGCACACCACCATGCCTGGCTAGTTTTTGTATTTTTGGTAGAGACGGGGTTTTACCGTGTTACCTAGGCTGGTCTCAATCTCCTGACCTCAAGTGATCTGCCTGCCTCGGCCTCCCATAGTGCTGGGATGAGCCAACATGCCTGGCTGAAATAAGGATTTTCTAGACCAATCTCTGCAGGTGGATTTCTTAATATGTTGCCTTTTAGTGTAATCTTCCCTAATGTTTCTTACAAGATTCTCTTTTGGAGTTGGAGGACGGGAGAATCCACGGGACTTTATGTTAGGAATCACCTGTGCTGTATCTCATTTTGGGAGGTTCTCAACCCACTTGCCATATTGAAGGCTCTAGGAAGTTGTATGGAAAGGAAATCTTTTATTCTGCCAAACTCAGATTTTCCAGACTTTTTAAATTTTTCCTTCATTAAGGAATTTTTTTTTGTTTTGAGACAGAGTCTCTCTCTGTCACCCAGCTGGAGTGCAGTGGCATGATCTTGGCTCACTGTAACCTCCATCTCCCAAGTTCAAGTGACTCTCTTGCCTCAGCCTCCCGAGTAGCTGGGACTGCAGGTGTGCGCCGCCATGCCCAGCTGATTTTTGTATTTTTAGTAGAGACAGGGTTTCACCCTGTTGGTCAGGCTGGTCTCGAACTCCTGACCTCAAGTGATCCGCTCGCCTCAGCCTCCCAAAGTGCTGGGATTACAGGTGTGAACCACTGTGCCTGGCCTTTTTCTCCATTATTAGCGTCTGCAGAAATAGTGATTCCAAGGAGCTCTGACAGCCCACCTTCAGCAGTCCTGGCCAGAGGTCCTTCGGCCTCACGTCGTCTCCATGCATGTCAGCGTGACATAGGCATCACGTGCTGTCCATTCTCTTCTCTCTGAACAGGACCCTGTGTTGTTTTCGGGTTCCCTCCGCATGAACCTGGACCCGTTCAGCCAGTATTCGGACGAAGAAGTCTGGACGTCCCTGGAGCTGGCCCACCTGAAGGGGTTCGTGTCAGCCCTTCCCGACAAGCTGGACCACGAGTGTGCAGAAGGCGGGGAGAACCTCAGGTAGGCGGGGGTGAACAGGGAGACACCAGATAAGGTGTCCTAGGTGCCACCTCGGTAGGGGTGTTTGAAGATTCTGTCCAGGTCTGTGTCAGACCTGGATTTGAATCCCAGTTGTGCCGCAGATAAACCATTTGTCCCTTCACCTCTTGGAGCCTCAGTTTCTGTATCTGTGAAATGGGTCTTAATCCAGGCTTTTTGTACCATGAGGTAGAATAACCAGGATGGCCAGTACATTTCCCACCCGCTCCATGCAGTTGAGAGTGGCTGTCAGTTGCTGAGCTCTGGAAAGGCTTCTGTACCAGCTGGTCACTGGCATTGCTCTGAGCCCTCAAGTCCCCATGCACTACCCCAGCTGTCTTGGTCCTGCTACCAGGATCCTGGAGCTCTGTCCATGACCTGGCAACTAAAGCATTAATGCCTGGCACACCAGCGGAACCTCTGGGGTCCCACTCTGGTGGTGGTTGTTAGTGCCTGCTTCTGGTTCTGTTTTCCGTCTCCATGACAACCAACCATAAAGCAATGATAATTGGAGTATAAGGCAATGATCATTGCTCCCAAACGAGGGCAGTCAGCCGGGTGACTCTGCTGATCTTGGCTGGGCTCACATGCATGTCTGGGGGTCAGCTGGCTGTTGGCCTCAGGTGGGGCAAGAAGGGTATACTCGGCGCATCCTTCATTCTCCAGCAGACCAGTTTGGCATGTCATGGCCATGGCAGGGGCACAAGAGCGTGGAAGCACCCATGTGCATCTCACAATATTCTTTTGGCTGGTGTTATGTTTGCCAGTGTCCCATTGGCCAAAGCAAGGTACATGTCTGAGTCCAGAGCCACCTGTCATGGCCCCACAGGTGGATAGGGATGCATGGATATTAGCCCTTTTTTTTTTTTTTTTTTTTTTTCCTGAGACAGGAAGTCTCACTGTGTCACCCAGGCTGGAGTGCAGTGGTGCAACCTCCGCCCCCACGCTCAAGCAGTTGTCCTGCCTCTGCCTCTCAAGTAGCTGGGATGACAGGTGCCTGCCACCACGCCCAGTTAATTTTTGCATTTTTAGTGAGATGGAGTACCACCACATTGGCCAGGCTGTCTCAAACTCCTGGTGTTAAGTGATCCGCCCGCCTTAGCCTCACAATGTGCTGGGATTATAGGTGTGAGCCACTGTGCCCGACTTTTTTTTTCTTGCCTAGGCTGGAGTACAGTGGATTGATCTCAGCCTCTTACTTCTGGACTCGAACAATCCTGCCTCAGTCTCCCGAGTAACTGGGACTATAGGAGCATGCCACTACACCCAGCTTATTTGTTTATTTTTGTTTTTAGGAGAGATGGGGGTCTTGCTTTGTTGCCCAGGCTGGTCTCAAATTCCTGGCTTCAGGCTATTCTGCCACCTCGGCCTCCCAAAGTGCTGGGATTGTAGGTGTGAGCCACTGTTTTGAGAATGATTCTGAACCTACATCTTGCTGAATAGGAGATGTGCTCTGATTGATTAGTGATGTCTGCTGCAGACACAGATGTTGGGAGTGGACGTGGTATCCTGGTCGAGCAACATCGAGTGTCTCCTTTCACATCTCCCAGCCTGGGCCTAGGTTCAGAGTCAGGGGTGGTTTGATCTAACACTGTCTCCTGGTCTTTTTCTTTCGATCAAGTGTTGGGCAGCGCCAGCTTGTGTGCCTGGCCCGGGCCCTGCTGAGGAAGACGAAGATCCTTGTGTTGGATGAGGCCACAGCAGCTGTGGACCTGGAAACGGACGACCTCATCCAGTCCACCATCCGGACACAGTTTGAGGACTGTACCGTTCTCACCATCGCCCACCGGCTCAACACCATCATGGACTACACAAGGTGATGCCCCTGGCACAGTGGCCTCTAGGCTTTGAGAGTTTGGCTTACTCACTGGCTCATTCATTCATTCATTCAACACTGTCCTTATCCCTAGTGACAGCCCCAGTGGGTGGATCCTCTCTTCATCCTGGATGGTACCAGGTATTTCTTTTTTTTTTTTTTTTTTGAGACAGAATCTCACTCCGTCTCCCAGGCTGGAGTACGGTGGCGCAGTCTTGGCTCACTGCAGCCTCCACCTCTGGGGTTCAAGCAGTTCTCCTGCCTCAGCCTCCTGAATAGCTGGGACTGCAGGCATGTGCCACCACGCCTGTCTAATTTTTGTATTTTTAGTAGTGACAGGGTTTCGCCATGTTGGCCAGGCTGGTCTTGAACTCCTGACCTCAGGCGATCTGCCTGCCTCAGCCTCCCAAAGTGTTGGGATTACAGGCATGAACCACTGTGCCCAGTGGTACCAGGTATTTCTGACATCATCCAGTCATTCATTCTGTCATTGTATCTGCATAGCGCACCTGCCATGTTCCCAGACACTGGGGACTCTGTAGGCTGCTATCAGACAAGGTCCCTGCCTCTAGGACCAAGTAGCTTATTAGATAGAGGAGACGAAATAGACAGAGCAACAAACCAACAGGATTCCAGAGGGCAGCAAGTGCTGGGAAGGACGCTTGCCGAGGAGACGGGATAGCAGGTGCCAGGCAGGGCCATTGTTTACATCGAGCACTGCAGGCCCAGTGCCTGGGGCCCACAAAAAAGGTTTTATTTTTTAAAAAGAAGCAGGCCAGGTGCGATGGCTCACGCCTGTAATCCCAGCACTTTGGGAGGCCGAGGCGGGCAGATCACCTGAGGTCGACAGTTGGAGACCAGTCTGGCCAACGTGGTGAGACCCTGTCACCATTAAAAATACAAAAAATAACCGAGTGAGGTGGTGCGTGCCTATAATCCCAGGTACTTGGGATGCTGAGGAAGGAGAATTGCTTGAACCTGGGAGGTGGAGGTTGCAGTGAGCTGAGATTGTGCCACAGCACTCCAGCCTGGGCGACAGAGTGAGACTCCATCTCAAAAGAGAAAAAAAAGAATGTAATCCAACCTTGTTTCTATTTATACCAACACAGTCATAAAATAGAAATTTTAGCATTTTGTGTGGAGAAAGCTGCCTCCGCAGGCATCAGTGCCGGGGATCACAGAAGTCACAGTGCGGCCGTAGTGCCAGGATCTTGGGGGTTTTGAGTTTTGCTTGAGTCACCTCTGAGGAGGTGACATTTTAGCTGAGACCTGAACAATGAAAGGGAGTCAGCTGTGAGAAGATCTGGGACAGCGATCTGCAACCTTGTTCTTAAGGGCTGGGGTAGTTTCAGCTTTGCGGGCCACATGGCCTCTCGGCCACTTGACTCCAGTGTTGCCTTGTGAGCGCAGTCATAGTGCACAAATGAATGAGCATGGCTGTGTTCCAGTAAAACTTTATTCATAAAAACAGGCAGGGGGTCAGATTTGGCCTGCAAGCCACAGTTTGCCAACCTTTGATCTAAAGGAAGAATATTCTAGGCAGCCGGTACAGCCGAATGTAAAACTGAATGAATGTGCTTAATGAATTTGAAGGCTAGCATGAGGAGGCCGTTGTACCTAGAGGCTGGAATTGAGGGGACAGGGGTAGGAGATGAGGCCAGAAACGTAGGGCAGGGGCTAGATCTTAGAGCAGCATGTAAGCACGGTGAGAAGCTTGGAACTTACTCTAAGAGCCCTGTAAAGCCATTGGAAAGTTTTAAGCAGGGGGGTGACATGAGTTTCCATTTTATTTATTTATTTTTGAGATAGCGTCTCACCCTGTCGCCCAGGCTGGAGTGCAGTGTTGGGATCACAGCTCACTGTGGCCCCAAGCGATCCTCCTGCCTCAGCCTTCCAAAGTGCTGGGATTATAGGCGTGAGTCTCTGCACCCAGCTGACATGATGTTTCTAGTTCACTGAGTACCACCTACTAAGTGACAGATACTGAGTTGGTGCTTTTGAAATATAGGACATAGAAATGAGGACAGAAGTGGGCATTGTCAAATCTTACAGGACCTAAAATATTAGGGGTCAGCCAACTATGGCCCACAGGCCGTAGATCTGGCCCCTGGCCTGTTTTTATGAATAAAGTTTTATTGGCACACAGCCACATCTGTTCATTTTCCTGTTGTCTCTGGCAGCTTTCACACTATAAATACAGCAGAGATGCATAGTTGTAACAGAAACCATATGGCCTGCAGAGCCTGAAGTATTTGCTGTCTGGCCTTTTTCAGAAAAATGTTGCCAATCCTTATTGTAGACTATGGTAAGATCTTTTTATTTTACTCTGAATGTAATGGAACAGTGAATGTGAACAGTCAACACTGTTCATACGGTTCCCACCATGATTTATGTGGGGTAGATATTAAGGAGGTGGCCTCATGGGAATTTGACATTGACTAGAAATAGAGATGGAGGGTGAGCAACCAGCTGGAAGGCTGCTGACCAGTCCTAGCAGAAAGTGTTAGGGACCTGACCCAAAGCAGTAACTTGCCCAGGTCACTTGTCGCAGGGGCATGAGGTGCTCACCCCTCTCCTTCCTCTGATGTCTGTGTCCCCTCCCGCTACAGGGTGATCGTCTTGGACAAAGGAGAGATCCAGGAGTACGGCGCCCCGTCGGACCTCCTGCAGCAGAGAGGACTCTTCTACAACATGGCCAGAGACGCCGGCCTGGTGTGAGCCGCACAGCTGGCCTATCTGGTCAGAACTGCAGGGCCTACATGCCCGCGCCCAGGCAGGAGTCAGTACCCCTGGGAAACCAAGCCTCCCACACTGAAACCAAAAAATCAAAACCAAACCCAGACAACCAAAACATACTCAAAGCAGCAGCCACCACCATCCAGTCCCCTGCCTGGAACTGGCCGTGAAGACACGGGACAGACACAGAGAGGCGAGCTGCCCAAAACATGCTCGCCCTTGCCCCTGGTGCCCTGAGACATACACACAGCCTCATGCCCCTGGGAATGCAAGTGTGTTCCTGGTGCTTCCCGCGGACGAGTTTTGGCAGCCAGACTTCTGAAGGAATTGGTTGTATAGAAGATCCTAGTGACCAAATCCAGCCGGCTGCCTCGGATCTCTCCAGCTGAAGTCTATGGACTGCAAGTCTTTGAGATGCCTGTGGCTCCCATCACCTCTAACATCCTTGTCTGGGTCCACCCGGAATGCTTCATTTCCTTGGGGCTGCAGTTTTGAGGTTGAGGGGCCTGGAGAAAATCATTCCCTTCCCTTGGCAGTGTCCCAGGGCCCTGCATGGTCCTCTTACCAACATCTGGTCTTCCAGGCACTCAGAAGCTGGGAACCAGCATCCCAGCGCCAGCTCTGCCAGTTCTTGCTTCAGGCCAGAGGCAGCCTCTGCGCTCCCAAGCCTGTCCTCCTGGAAGGGACCTGGTTGGACTAACAGATAACCTGGACCTGGAACTGCAGGGCCAGGGGATTGTCTCGTAGGGCCAACGTTCCACCTGGGGTTCCCCTCCCCACTCACCCCCACTCCAGGCTTTCCCTTGCTTTTTTCTTTTGCTCAACATTGTAAGAACAATCAACGCCGTTATTACTGTTCCCACCATGATTGATGGGGGGTAAATATTAAGGAGATGGTCTCATGGGAATTTGACATTGACTAGAAATAGAGATGGAGAGTGAGCAGCCAGCTGGACGGCTGCTGACCAGTCCTAGCAGAAAACGTGTTAGGGGCCTTGCCTGAAGCACTGTTGGTTGCTTACAGTGTTGATTGCTTTTCTTCTTTTTTCTTACCCCTCTTTGCTTTCCCTCTCATGGTACCTGCTCATGGTTATGAAGCTTTCAAAGTAAAGAACACGAAGTACCTCCCAAGTATTACCAATAGGTACCAAAAAACGTCCCCTTGAGTCTTTTCCTTTTTTTTAGACTTTAATTCTCTCCCTTGGCATCCGGTTAGCCCCCCAGGGGGGGCAGCATTGTGGAGAACTTGACGTTTAGTTATTGATGCTCTTCCAGGACACAAAAAGAACCCATCTTTGAATATCAGTGATTTTTTTTTTCTTTAAGTACTGTTCCAGGGAGAAAAACTGTCTCAAAACTTGAACTTCTTGGGAAGAGAAGTGTTAGGCTGAGAAGTCACATTCCCAGGAAATAGTGAGGAGCTCGCCCTGTGTTTGACCGTTTTGGTCTCTGTATTCCTGGAAGAAAACGGAGAAGCAGCATCGTTTAAAGCCTGTTCTTTAATGTGTCTCCGTTGGAGCCCAAAGTGAAATCCAGAAAGCAGCCAGAGCTGACGGCTGCCCCAGGACTCATACTTGCTAAGAATTACATCGCCGACTTCAAACCCAGAGAGCATCTTTCTTTTAGGTGAAAACACATATATTTATTTTTTGTAAGTTATACCATTCTTTCGCATTAGATAAACCAAGTTTTGGGGGATCCTTTTGTAATGACTTAAACTGGAAATGTGAACATTTGCAGTAAAAAATATATATATATCTATATATTTTATTTCTTTCTAAACAGTAGTTCCCTTTCCTTTGGGGCCTCAGCGAGGGTTCCAGCCATCTCCTGCACGGTCAGGATCTGGCCTCTTCCTCTTTCTGTTCTTTCCTTTTGACAGGTTGCCTCTAGTGGGAGCTGTTGCCAGAAAGGGCAAGTCCTGGACATCACTAGTCGGATGGGGTTTAGTGGGAAGGCGGGACAGCCGCAAGGTGGACGGAGTCCTGGCTTTGGGGTCAGACAGATCCTGGCTTGAGTCCTGCTCTTGTCATTCGCTGTTCTGGTGACCCTGGGAAAGTCACTCAGCCTCTGTGCCTCACTTGCTTTGTCTGTAAGATGAGGCTAATCGTACGTATCCTGTGAGCAGCGATGTGTGTGGTACTTGTAGCCTCGGTCAAGTTCTAAGACACAGGCGAGGCAGAAATCACATGTGGCCAGAATGATCCTTGAAAATCCTGCCCCTCCCCCTGCCTTTTTTTTTTTTTCCCCCCTAGAGACAGGGTCTCAATCTGTTGCCCAGGCTGGTGTGCAGTGGCACAGTCCTAGCTCACTGCAGCCTCAAACTCCTGGGCTCAAGCAGTCTTCCTGCCTCGGCCTCAGGCATGTGCCACCAAGCCCAGCTAATTTTTTAAATTTTTTATAGAGACAGGGTCTTGCTATGTTACCCAGGTTGTTCTTAAACTCTTGAGCTCAAGGCATTCTCCTGCCTGAGCCTCCCAAAGTGCTGGGATTCAGGCACCTGGCCTGAAAATCCCTTTATGTTAGTCCAGAGAGGCAAGGCTGTGCTGCAGTAACAAATTCACCATAAAATCTTGGGAAATGATCGCAAGGCTTTATTTCTTGCTCATGCAGTTCTTGATGAGGGTCAGCTGCCTCTCTAGGGTAGCTGACTTCCCTGTGACAAGTGATCCAGGCTGTGCTGGTTTTATCACATGGCCTCCCAAGGGCTGGCTTCCAGGTCCCCACAGCGGGAGAAGGGAGAGTGGACGACTCTCACCCACTCTTCCCTGTCTGAAACCAGAACTGACTCAGTCAATCGCACTCACAGCCCGTTGGCCAAAACGAGTCACATGGCCCCAACCCAGCCACTGCGGGAGCTGGGAAATGGAGGGGTGCCTGTGGAAGAGAAGTATTTCTCCCTTTCCTATCTCATGTGATTCCCGTGTTTGGGACAGCGGAGTAGTCGGAGTAGAATGTTTGGTTTCTAACTTTGAACTGAGTGCGTCTGGGCTGTAAGGAATGTATGTATTTGGGGAGCACACCATTTCTGCCACACTTAAAACCATGCACCAAGTACATGAGCAGATGGAACATTCCAGCACTGCCATTGTTCCCTCAAGCCTTCCTGTCCCCTGATTGAAATTGTTGGCTTGCCCTAGGGACTGTGGTGTACAAAGATGCTCAGAGAAGAGCCGGCGAAGTGGTGACCATTCGAATGAGTAGTAGTGTCTGGGTGCAGTGACTCATGTCCCAGTGAAACTGTTGGCTTGCGTTAGGGACTGCGGAGTATGAAGTTGCCTAGTGAAAAGCCAGTAAGGTCATAACCATTAGAGTAGTTAGTATCGGCCGGGCATGGTGGCTCACATCGGAATGAAGTCACTGGCTTGCATTAGGAACCACGGAGTGTGAAGGTGCCCAGTGAAAACCTGGTGACATTGTGACTATTAGAATTAGCAGTATTGGCCAGATGCGGTGGCTCATGCCTGTACTCCCAGCACTTTGAGAGGTTGAGTTCAAAACCAATCTGCCTGAGGCCAAGAGTTCAAAACCAGCCTAGGCAACCTAGTGGAATTCCGTGCATATAAAAACAGTTTTTGTTAAATTAGAAGTAGCTGGCCGGGCGCGGTGGCTCAAGCCTGTAATCCCAGCACTTTGGGAGGCTGAGGCGGGTGGATCACGAGGTCAGGAGATCGAGACTATCCTGGCTAACATGGTGAAACCCCGTCTCTACTAAAAATACAAAAAAAAAAAAAAAAAAAAATCTAGCCGGGCGTGGTGGCGGGCGCCTGTAGTCTCAGCTACTTGGGAGGCTGAGGCGGGAGAATGGCGTGAACCCGGGAGGCGGAGCTTGCAGTGAGCCGAGATCACGCCACTGCACTCCAGCCTGGGAGACACAGCGAGACTCTGTCTCAAAAAAAAAAAAAAAAAAAAAAAAAAAAATTAGAAGTAGTTGAGGCTGGGCGCAGTGGCTCACGCCTGTAATCCCAGCACTTTGGGAGGCTGAGGCGGGTGGATTGCGTGGGGTCAGTAGTTCAAGGCCAGCCTGAACAACATGGTGAAACCCCGTCTCTACTAAAAACACAAAAATTAATTGGGCATGGTGGCACACGCCTGTAGTCCCAGCTACTGGGGAGGCTGACAGAATTGCTTAAACCTGGGAGGTAAAGGCTGCAGTGAGCTGAAATCATGCCAGTGCACTCCAGCCTGGGTGACGGAGCGAGCTGAGGCTCCATTTCAAAAAAGTAGTTGGCTCTACCGGCGGGAATCTTAGTGTGGATGTGGGATATGTTTAGATCTCAAAGCCTGACCCTAAGTATTGAAGTCCCAGGTCAGATCCTAAGCAGTCCCCGAGAGCGCCACGTGGTATGCACCTGTGCCTGTGTCTTGGGGTGGGACAGCTGCGTGCTCGAGTGGAATCCGGGGCTGGGTACAAGTTTAATCCCCTTGATGAAGAGGAGGCAGAGGGAGGCATAACTCCTCATCCAGGTGAGTGGAAGTGCTGTGGAAGGAAGCTGTGTTTTGTACCTACTACGTGCTGGCCCTGGGCTCACTGTAGAACTCTCCACATTGGAAAGGCTCCCGAGGGCCAGAGAGGTCTAAGGAGGGGGCTGGTGCTTCCCAGTGTTGACCTGTTCATCCGTCCTCATACCCGCCGTCAGATCCTACAGCAAATTTGTTTGATTTTCTGCCCAACACCCAGAATCTATCCACTCCCCATCCTCCCATTGCCACCCCGCTAGTCCCAGCCACCCCACCTTCTCCCTGCATCCCTATAACAGCTTCCACTGTGGTCTCCAGGCTTTTGCCCCCAGCGACACACACACACACAATCACAGTGTCCTCAACCCGGTGGCTATAGTGACCTTATGAAAACATGCATTGGCTGGGTGCAGTGACTCCCCTGTAATCCCAGCACTTTGGGAGGCCAAGGCGGCGGATCACCTGAGGTCAGGAGTTCGAGACCAGCCTGACCAACATAGTGAAATTCTGTCTCTACTAAAAATACAAAAATTAGCCAGGTGTGCTGGCAAGTGCCTGTAATTCCATCTGCTTGGGAGGCTGAGGCACAAGAATTGCTTGAACTGGGAGGTGGAGGTTGCAGTGAGTCAAGATCGTGCCCCTGCACTCCAGCCTAGGAGACAGAGTGAGTGAAACTCTGTCTTAAAAAAAAAAAATTTTTTTTATTTTTTTTTAATTTTAAGAAAAAGAGGCAAGGTAGCCTGATGGTGAGGACATGGGCTCTGAAGCCAGACTGCTTGGGCAGAGACACCACTCATTCTGTCTGTTTTCTCATCTGTCAAAAGGGCCTGATGGTAGTACCTTCCTCATCCAAGTGTTCCAGTAAGGGGCCCAGTGAGGCGGCTTCCTCCTCTGGTCCACTGAATGAGTGTGTGGCTGGCGGGCATTTAGAGCAGTGTCAGGTACACGTAGTTACGTGTTTGCAGTGGTGAGATGGACAGTGGTGAGTTTTAGAGAGTCTACCGGGCGCAGGCACTGACCAGAGAGGAGGTCCACAGCCCTGCTGGATGGAATTCGTGTTCCACCCACCAGCCAGGCCCTGCTGGCAGGAGCCCATGGCAGGGGTATTAATGGCCTGGGCATCCCTGCTGGCGCGTCTCCAGGCTGCCGTGGTATGGGCCCGACAGCAGCCTCATTAGCAGGCTGGCAGGTGCTGGTTCCCACGTGCCGGCCGCCTGTGGCCCACCCTCTGCTCCCTGGCATGCAGCCTAGGAAAGAGGATCTGGTGGCCCTGGGTCATCCCAGGCTGAGTTTGCCCAGTGTCCACGTGACAGCCCCTGCCTGGGGTCACTCTGCAAGGCAGTCAGGTGGCTCAGCTCCAGGCAGAGAAAAGATGGGCTGCATCCGCCCTTCCACTCTCTAAAGGGCAAAGGTGCCCTGTGCAGTGACTTTGGTATTAGACCCAGAAGTAGATCCCCACTCTGTCCTTACTGGGTCACCTTGGCAAGTCATGTCAAGCCCTTGAGCCTCAGTTTCCTCACCTGTGAAATGGAGCTAGCCATAGGTAGTGGGTCCACAGCGCTGCAGGCATGACTAGGGGCAGGTGAACACTGCGGACTCCCTGCCTCACATTGAAGGTGGTAGAAGCTGCAGTTAGATCTAGATTTAGTTTACTCCACGCCAAAAGGGGCATCACAAAACCCTCTGTCAGGATGGGCATCAGAAAGTCCCATGACCTGATAGAGCTGGCTCTGTGTCCTTAAGAAAATGTGGCGTCCTTGTCCCGTCACCCTTGACACCGGCAAAGCCACTGCCCGAGTATCTGTGGATGATGGATGGCAGCGGGGCAGGTTAGACCAGGGATTTTCAACCAAGTGGGTCTTTTTGTTTGGGGTTTTTACAGACAGTCTCGCTCTGTCACCCAGGCTGGAGTGCAGTGGTGTGATCTCGGCTTATTGCAACCTTCTCTGCCTGGGTTCAGGCGATTCTTCTGCCTCAGCCTCCGGAATAGCTGGGATTATAGGTGCCCGCCACCACGCCTGGCTAATTTTTGTATGTTTGGTAGAGCCAGGGTTTCACCATGTTGACCAGGCTGATTTGGAACTCCTGACCTCAAGTGATTCGCCTGCCTCGGCCTCCCAAAGCACTGGGATTACAGACATGAGCCACCGCGCCCGGCCCAACCAGGTGGTTTGACCCCTCTGGGGACGTATGGCAGTGTCTGAAGATACTTTGTCACAAGTCTGGTGGTGGTAGAGGGAGGATGTTACTGGCATCTAGTGAAGAAGAGGCCAGGGCCGCTGCTGAGTGTCCTACGATGTGCAGGACGT